CATTGTGAAGTTCGGCTCTGAATACTTATTTTCACTTTTATTGTCTTTAAAAGAATTTTGTATTTTTTAAATATTTTATCTTGAAAATGATTGCTTTGTATGAAATATCAATTTCTTAATTATATTTTTCATGATAATCTCTATTGTAGGACTAATGCAATCAGTTAAAAACTTAAGTAAAAACTGCAAAAATAGAAAAGAAATACAGTAGAGAAACAATTATCTGGAAAGTCATTGTGATTTCGAATTTCCCAGTTTTCTGGATTTCTAATTTTAGGTCTTTGATGGTCACTGAAAAGTCCTTGAATTTTATATATTTATTTATTTTATTTTATTTTTTTGAAAATTGAGTGGGAACTTTGTTTAAGAACTAAGATATTTTTTTCTATCTCTTTTTTTTCCAGCTTTAGTACTTTTAAAAAAAATAGCTGTTATGTATTTTTATTTCTAACAAATAACTATTATAGTTTTTTCCCTTTACCCTATACCAATAATATAGCTAAGTTTTGACTATTTTTCAGTGATGTCTAATCTTATTTATAAATAAAAAATATTTATTTATGCTTATTTTTTAAGAAAATAATATTGCTATTCGACTAATTTTTTTAAAATCTAAATTGCTTTTATGTACAAAAAATACTTACGCATTTTTATAATGTGAAGACTTCAAACGTAAAAAATTATAACTCACATTTTAAAAACTTTCACTCCAATTTGTAAATTGTTTTGTACAAAAATAGAAGTCTGTTTTTAACTTTGTTTTCTGCTAAGCTGTCACTTTTACATCCTGAGTCACTTTTCAACAGTCAAAGTCATCACTTTTTATTTCTTGAGAATTTCAGTTATTCAAATGTATTTTGAAAATTTTGCAATTTTTCTCCTTTTATTTTGAAAATATTGTATTGGAATAAAATTTAGAAAATAAATTTGAAGAAAATGACACCAAGTAACCAAAAAATTGAAAAGAACTAATTTTATAACTTGTTAGTTGTCTTAAAAAAGTTTAGATTTTTAAATAGATTATGTTAGTATATTTTGTATAACATTACTTTTTGTGTTGTATGATTTGAATATTCTATAATTATCCTTTATTTTTAATTTTCTTTTATTTATTGGGTAATGAAACTTTCTATAAATATTTATTTTTTACTAATTAAATGAAAGGTTTAATTATTTTTTTAAATGAATTTTCAGGTTGTGGAACATTTATGTCAAATACAAGCTTTAGAAGAATCTGGCTATGAGGGATTGGAAGCTGAAGCAGCTCTTCATCTTCATGATTATAACAGTGATGAGGTATAATTTTTGTTACGTATATTTATTCTCTAATTTCATTTGAAATTCTATGGACCAGTTACATAATATGGGTGTTACCAAACACTCAGATCTGTTATCTAGTATGAATAAAATATTTACATAATATCTTCGTAAAACACAAAAAAAAAAGTGAAATGCATTATAATGTATTTTAAAACTGTAAAAACTAAATTTCAAGGCTTGCTGCAAAGGTGGGGTGCTGAGGTCCCTCTACCTAAAATAAATTCACAAATGAAGAAAATGTTATTTTTTAATTTGAAAACTAATTTATAAAACTTTTATTTTTTAAACCTAATTAAGTTGCATATCCTTTTTTGAAAAAGGATTGATGAAAAAAATTTCTTGACTTTCAAAAATGTAATGAATTTAAAATTAATTTTTTTAATAATTTAATTATTTCTTTGTTTAATAAGGACAAAATCGATGTGTCTGAATTAAAAGAGGAAGTATATCTATAATAATTTAGAATTAACTAAGCATTAATTTTGCATAAATTGCCTTTGTTAATAGAATTAAATTTTGACAGATTTTCAACTTTGTGTGTGTGCTTTTTTTCCTGCTGTAATAGTCTTCTTTCTTTCTTTTAAAAAACATTCTTTTGAACACCTTTTTTTTAAAAAAAAAATTTCTTTTAAAAAAATTTAATAGTTGTAAGATTTAATATTGATATTTCTTTTCATGCCTTGAATCAATAATGCTACATTTTAAGATCTTAAAGTTTTAATTTTGGTCTTTTGTTTTTAAAATTTTTTAAAATTAGTTTGAAAAAGAGTTTTAAAATTTTTAATGCTAATTATGTTCTTTTTTTTTGACGAATGTTAATTTTTTCAATAATTTACGAGTAATTACTCACGTAAATAATATGTAACGTAAAGTAAATTACATTAAATTTTCCTTTTTGAAAATGAGTGATTTTTTAAAATATATTTATAATCTAAAACCTTAGCAATAGCTAAAAAACTATGTCAAATATTAATATATTGCTGAAACTCAAAGTAAATGAAATTTCTTGCTTTGATTATTGTTTCAATGTAAGTTAGATTTAAAACCTAAAGGAAAGCAGATCAATATATATTTTGACAGCGTCATTAAAATAAATTTTCAGTTAGAGAATTAATTTTAATTGAATTGATGAATAAAAGATTTCAGAAATATGTATTTCTATATATTGTTTACTATTAAATGAACAATACGAAGAAACAGAAGCAGTAAGATATACTTGATAATGTTAAAAACTTTATTTGCTTAAACAAAGCAGTATAGCAAAAAATAGGTGTCTATTCTGAATCAATGGATTCAATGAGGAAAACAAAAGAGATTTGAAATAGAAAAAGCTAAGTTGCCAGCAAAAAATAACTAAAAGTAAAAAAAAAATTTAAAAAAATTAGGAAAACCAAAGTGCCCAAGATAGGTAAATCAAAGCAGCATTAATTTCTAAGCTCTATGGAGAGGTGGTGAAGAACTCATCATGTCATTAACAAAAGAATGGGCATTCATCTGTATGGAACAAGATTTCCGAGTGTCAATATGTGCTGATAATACATGAGTGGAAAGAATTTTAGCATTTAATTTTTTATTGGCTACTTTGCATTTTTTATTTCACTTGCAGCTACTGTTGTTTCTACAGTTTTGTTTTTCTTCTTTATTTTCTATTTTTTCATTGACAACCTAACGTTTCCTGTTTCAAATCTCTTTTGTTTTCCTCATTCACACTTGGCGACTCTTAAGAATGGGCACCTACACTATCTAGCCATTAATGACCGGACACGACTTGAACGGCTGGTGGACTCGTCCTGGCGGAATAAATACGGAACCTGTGGTGGGGGAAAGACCGTTCGCAAGCAGGCGACGGCCATACGAGCGTTAACAGTAAAAATGAGTGGACGGCGAGAGCTGAAAGGGGCATGATAGGCTCCCACCGATTTGGTAATTTCATCCGTGCCATCTCCGACAAGTTTCAGGTACCACGGTCAACAGTTGGTGACGTCGTGTTGAAATGGGAATGAGAGGGAGTGATGAAACCGCAGTCCCGACCCGGCAAGCACAAAATAATGTCCGACAGGGATCGACGATCTCTTCGACGTGTAGTGAAGTCAAACCGACAAATGTCGTTGGACACTGTCGCTACCAACTTTCGGGCTGCATCTGGTAGTGTTGCCAGTGCATGTACCATTCGTCGGGAGCTGATTGCACAAGGATTCCGTGGATGGGCAGCAGCACATAAGCCAAACATCTCTCCATCAAACGGCCGCCACCGATTTCAGTGGTGCAGAGCACGTCGCCAGTGAACAGTAGAGCAATGGAAAAGCGTTATGTGGAGTGATGAGTCACGCTACATGTTGTGGCACTCTGATGGACGAGTGTGGACCTGGCGAATGCCCGGAAAATGGTACCTATCAGAGTGCATTGTCCCCATTGTGAAGTTCGGCGGTGGAGGAATTATGGTTTGGTCCTGTTTCTCATGGTTTAACCTTGGAGCCTTGGTATTAGTGCGTGGAACCCTGAACGCAGAAGGGTATAGAGACATCCTGGACAATTCGGCGCTTCCCACCCTGTTGCAACAGTTCGGTAATGGCCCGTTTGTGTTTTAACACGATGACGCTGCCATTCATAAAACACATGCCATCACGAACTGGTTTGATGAAATGGAGGTGCAAGAGCTTGACTGGCCATCCCAAAGTACCAACATCAATCCAATTGAGCATCTCTGGGATGAGTTGGAGCGCCGGTTGAGGGCCAGACCACAACGCCCCAAAACCACCACTCAACTCTTCGCCATGTTACAGGAGGAAAGGCAGGCAATGCCTGCCGCCGTTTACCAACACCTAGTGGGTAGCCTTCCTAGAAGGGTTAAAGCTGTGATTGAGGCGCGTGGCGGCCCTACTGACTTGATACTAGCCCCTCATGTATCCGAAATGAGGGGTGTCCGGTCATTATTGGCCAGATAGTGTATTTTTGAGCGCTGGAAACGTGTTCAAAGTTCACTTTCAAATTTTTTAAGCAAATATAGTTTTTATATTATCAAGTATATTACTTATGTTAATAAAATTGAAAAAAGGCACAGCCTTTTTAATTTATTGTATCTATCTTGCTTTCAACTGGGTGTGTAGCCAGATTTTTCAACAAAAAATAAGTACCTTTTAAGAACTCAAAAAATATTTTTAATCACTTTTCAAAAAAAAAAAAAAAATTATAATTAGGATTTGTGTATTAATATTTTTTTTTCTATTGTTTAAAGTTCTTAATTTATAAACTTAAAAAACATAAATAAAAAATAAGCGCCTTTAAGCACTTTTTAAAAACTCTACGCACCCTATTTCGACAATACATGAAATTTGCAACTTTCTTTTTTCAGCAAACCCTTTAAGTTCTATTGCATCGTCACTAATAGTGATTTTCATCCTATTTGCAGGCAAAACAGTTTTTGGATCTTGTCAGTCAGTTTCAAGACCTGGGGTTTGAAAAGAAAGCTGTGAAAAAAGCTTTGGTGCAAAATAAAAATGACTGGAACAAAACAATTGATGCTCTTTTAACATGATGTATTAATTTCCTGCAATTCTGTGATGATTTTTTTCTCTGCTAAAGTGCAGCCTTTTTGTGGTGGTGATCAAACTATAAAGAACAGTATTTTATAATTATATGCATAGCTGCGTAAACCTTTTCATAAAAATATTATATATGAATAATGATTAATTTTAATTTGTATTGTGCTTAGGCCTTTGTACATAGTATATAAAATAATCATTATTTTTATTGGTGTGATTTTATTCAAGTTCAAAATAAGGTAAAGAATTTTTTTTGTTTCACAGAGAAATTTTTTCAGGTCATCTTTTAAGAAATAAAGAGTGTAGTATTTTTAGTTTTTTGAGCTGATGGGAGCAAAAAAATCTTTATTTTCAGAGAAGCATAGTGCTTGTAAAATTAGATTTTTGGACATATTTGAGGACAAAAATTACCATTTTATATGTTATATTATTCAGAGCAATCTTGGAAAAAAGGCATTATTGAATAAAAAAATGATGTACTTGAAATGCAGGAAAGAATAACTAAAATAAACAAAGAATTACTTTTTATAATTCTTTATTTAAATAATTCTTTGGGCATATTTGAGCACATAAATTAACATTATACATCACCATGTGTCAAATTTTAGGGTATTACTTTTAGACTTTCTCTATTTATGTTAATTCTCGATATGCATAGATTTTTTGTTAGACCTTTCCTCTCTGCATTTCCAATACAATGTTATACTATGACCAATGATTCTCTTATTCTTTGGAAAGTACAATTGTAAGTACAAAGTTGTACAAAGTAAAAATTGGTCCCTATTTAAAAAATGAATTCTCAACCTCTTTATACATCATAATTCTTTATTGGTGTAAATAGCAAAAATTTCAAAATAGAAGAGTTTTGGATAATTAAGGCTTTTAATAAGTACTCATCAAACGCCTGCATAAAGTAAAAGCTACAATTTAATTTGATATGATAGAAAAAATTAAAAAAGGTAGAAAAGGGATTTATTAGAAAAGTAATAAGAAAAAGATTTCTAAATAATAAATGAATATTCTTCATTTTTTTAATGTATATCTTCTATTTGCAATAGCGCTATCTTTCATTTAATCATTGGTGATTCTACTAGGACTCTGTCTTTGCTACTAATGGGAAAAATATTAAGAATTCTTATTAAAACTGAAACAATTATCATAATGTCAGTAGTTAGTTATCTTAATTAGTTTTTTTTTTAATGATTTCAGCCTAATGTTTTTGTTTAACAAATAAAATATCCTTTTAACCAATTGAAATTAAAAGGGTGAAAGAACAGCACAAATGTTAAGCAGCATTTTTTTTTAATTAACATTGTTTTAAATACTAGATAGAGTTTCCTGCTTACTATTGTGATTTTTTTTTAAATCAAAAACTCTCTCCTAAAATAATATGGCCTATCTAGAATGTTTCATCTTACATGGATACCACAATTTTTAAGTTTGCCCCATTTATTGGTTTCTTAAAAATAAGTAATTAAAGATAACTTCTTAATGAAATAAATATCGCATATATAAGAATAGTTTTATTAACAATAACCAAAACATACATAACATGGAATGTAAAATCTATTATCACTATGGCATTTTGATTTTAACAATTTCAAATACTTTAATATGGCACAGAACATGTATATTTTCAAATACATTTGAATAAAAATGTAACAAAAATAATAATTTCAAGTGGTAAACATTAACAATATCGTGTATAAATAGCTAAAATTATTGAAAATATTTAAAAATAAAATCATAAATATTAAATAAATTATTTATCAAAAATAATTTCTCCAGTAAACATAAATGCAAGCAGAGTGGTTTTGGCTTGTACAGATCATAACATAAGCTAATTTAAGCTCTTAACTGAGTTTTCTGTGGGAGAGAGTCCTTCTTGTCGAAGTCTCATCAGCATCGGCTTATATATCTCTGGTACCATTGGTACAACCATTCCTTTTGTTTGTATTTCATCTAAAAAAAAGAAACTCTCAGTAATGGGTTCAGTTGATCATGGATTTTATTTTTCACTTTGCGTTAATAAATAACTGAAGATTCACTTGAATTTATTGTAATTAAATGAGATATGAATTGCCTTAAAAGCAAAACTTAAAATTAGAAACCTTTCAGAACAAATGTTTAAGATCTATTTTTAAAATTTTCAGGCCATACAAGATGAACCGTAATCTTATTTCACAAGAGCAGTATCATTTTCTCTGAAGGTGAAAGGAGAGAGATTGATTCTTTAGTTTACAATATTTTTATAGCTTGACAAAGTTTTTTTTCTTCAAATTTAGAAAAAGTAGTGTCTGGTTTGAAGAGGGGGAAAATAACGTTTCGGATACAAAAATGAGTGTCCGCTTTGCGGAAAATGTACATAATGGTTTATTCTTAGAAGATTACAGGAATTTAAAAATATATCTGTATTGAGAGGCGTCCATTTTATATGTAAAATAAGCTATTAGTAGCATACACACTTACTTTTTAACCAAATCAAATAAAAATTAAGTTATCGAGTTATGTTGTTTTAATAAACACCATTTAAACATTGAAAAATCTCATTTAATATACAAATTGTTAATCCAGGGCCAAGAAGGAGTATTTTAAATTTTTTTAAAAATTCTAAGATATAAATTTGGTCTGGAAAAGCATGACCCTCAAATCCCAACATATTAAAAGGACGATAACAAAATTTGTCATCAGGTGCAGTAAACTTTGGCTGTGACTCTAGTTATGCATTGAAAACATCAACCATACTTAAAATGGCATATTTATTTAGAGAAAGTACATTTTGATGTTTCTAGTATATTTAAGGTGCTCTCTTCAAACCATTAAGATTGTATCTTACTAGGGAAATAGGTTTCGCCAAAGTTTCTATTAAATTGAAGAGCATCGTGGAAATCATAGGATAGGATAAAAATTTTGCTGTTGTTGTTAATTTACGTCGCACTAGAGCTGCACAATGGGCTATTGGCGACGGTCTGGGGAACATCCCGGAGGATGATCCGAAGACATGCTATCACAATTTTGATCCTCTGCGGAGGGGATGGCACCCCCGCTTCGGTAGCCCGACGACCTGCGTGCGAAATAAAAATTTTGCAATTCTGCAAAGGGTTCAAATTCTTAACTACATGGAGACTAATTTTTTTTTCTTCATTTAAAACATAATTTTTTCTTCTTAATATAAAACAAATTTCGATAAAATAATTTTTAAATCTGGTTTAGTTTTTTTTTTTTTTTTATCAGAGAAAGGTTTTATTTTATCGACTTAATTAAAATAAAATATATGCCTTATATTTAAGATAGACTTAATTTTATAAGATTTTTATTCATTAAGATAGACAAAATTAATTAATAAAATGTGGAAATAAACTTGGAAAATAGTCTGCTTTTTTAAGAATCATTTTGATAAAACTTATACAGCAAATCATAGCATAAAATTTTGTAATACTTTATTTATTTTAGTTCTAAAGATAAAATAAATAAAAAAATAAATACAGTACAGAACCCGTAATCCGGAATTCAGAAAACCGGAACGAAATTCAATAAATTTTCCCGCATTTTTTTTTAAAAAATGTTTTTTTCCTCATTAGATTTTTGGATTTTTCTTTTTTGAAAGATGTTTACCTTACCATCATTTTGGAAATAATCATNTAAGATAGACAAAATTAATTAATAAAATGTGGAAATAAACTTGGAAAATAGTCTGCTTTTTTAAGAATCATTTTGATAAAACTTATACAGCAAATCATAGCATAAAATTTTGTAATAGTTTATTTATTTTAGTTCTATAGATAAAATAAATAAAAAAAATAATTATTTTTCAGTAAAAATAAATACAGTACAGAACCCGTTATCCGGAATTCAAAAAACCGGAACGAAATTCGATAAATTTTCCCGAATTGTTTTTAAAATTTTTTTTTGTCCCTCATAAGATTTTCTTTCTTTTTTGAAAGATGTTCACCTTACCATCATTTTGGAAATTATCATTAGTGTATTACTTCATTGCTTTTTCTTCTTTTTAAGATTATTTCCAAAAAAATATTTTTTTTTGGTTGGGTTTAACAATAAAAAAACGTTTTTTTGTAGCGTTTCAAAAAAACGGAAAAATCAGTTATCCGGAATAGCGATCGTTCCGGATAATCGGTTCCCTACTGTATATAGTTTCTGTTGAAAAAGAAATACTACAGTGAGATTATGTTTGGCACATTGTTCTAGGCATAGATGTTTAGTAAACAATATTTTAATTTTTAAATCATATGGACTGAACTAAAGTAACCATGATCAGAATAATTGAATACTCACTTTCTAAAACCATTTTTGCAGCAATTGCAGCTGGATAACCAACAGTTTTTGCCATTGCACTATAACCATCTTTTTCACCGTAGACAATAAAGTCAATTTGTCGAATTTCCTAAAATATAACAAAAGCTTAATTATATGGGCTTTAAATAATTACATGCAATTGTTTAAATTTTACGTTAAGTTTTTTTCTATCTAAATAATATTTAATCTTGTTGTAGTTCTATTAATATTTCCCAAAGATGGAAAATTATTTTCAGCGAAAAGTAACATAGCTTGAAACTGTTCTAAATAGACTGGGATTTCAAAGCTGAAAATAGTTTTACTTTAGCAGCTTCGAAATTCAAATAAAGGACTAAGGGACAAAAAAATTTAAAAATGGGGATTTTTTTCAGTAAAAAAGGGACCAGTTTGTTAAAAGGCATTGTTTTTACAAGAAAGAAACATAGCTATATAGCACACTTGCCAATTTTAGTCTCGCCACGGATAATTTTCTCAATGGTAGTAAAAAACAGATTGAATTACAATCATAAACTGAAATATCTGTTTTACTTTGCTCAGAGTTCAAATAATTGACTTTGCATAATTATCATGCACTTTTATAAATACTAATCCATTTATATGTAGTGAGTGTCAAAATCATTTTAAATTAAATTAGAAATCCAAGAAAGAAATACAAAGCATAAATTTTAATACTTTTTTTAAAAATGTAAAAATAAAATTATATGCAAAAAGTATACTTACACAAAATGCATGTACTTTTCTCAATTAATATCTAATATTAGTAAGTAATAAATCTAGTAATATTACACTATCTCTAGCTTGAATGATCAAAATTCATTCACAATTTTACAATAATTTAATAGAAATAAGGAGATAATTATAAGTCAAAACAAAGAAATTCTGCATAATTAAGAAAAATTTGAAACTAACATTTTTACCATCAGGCCATTGGATTCCAATATTATGCCTCAATATGATCACATCACGTTCTCCTTTGACTGCAATGCAATAGATAATATCAAATGCAATAAATAACTGCTTGAATATGTAATACAAATAAAACATGATGAACTAACAATACACGATAAATTAAATAGCAAATGACGCAATTGGAAAAATTACTTGTAATTATAAATGTAATAATATGTAATCTCTGAAAAGCAATTAAATTTAGAAAAAACAATTTTAGCCAACACAGACAATTTATATTTGTGTCTGCATAAAACTAAGAGATTTATATTATAACATGAATACATAAATATTAATATAAAATGTTTTAAAAATGTTGACATTGATTAAAAAAATATTACCAATGTATATCAAAATAAAACATTTCAATATGGAAGATGACACTTGGCTAACTAGCATAAGAACAAAATCTTAAAACAAGTTGGGAGAAATTTACATAGAACTATTTTACTATTAATTTATTTAAATACCTTTAGATTTTATTAATTACAGATGATGCAGTCCTTTTGTAAAATTTTTCAGACTAGTAGTTTTTTAATAAGTAGCCAAACTACCAAAACTGTTTAGTTAGTACAGTACAGATTTTTTTAATTTCATTTTAAAAAAAAAGCCTTATGTATGATAAATCAAGGAAAATAAAATAATTTTTTTTCCCCATGGTATTATGAATAATTATGATTTTGTTCATGCAGGCAAGTTTATTAATGTTTCATATTATTAATAATAATATGAAACAGTAGAATTTCAGGCAGTAGATCTAAAATAATTTTAAGTTAATAACATTTTAACCCATTAATCAACTCTTTATAACAGCCTGATCTTTCAGATAAATAAAAAATAGGCAAGAAGGCATTACTAAACCTAGAAAACTAACTTTATGAAATATAAACATTATTTAACAAATTGCTATTATTTTGGCTTTTTTCCAAATCATTTTAGGTCAAATTAAACTTAATTTTTATAGTTATATTTTAAACTTACTTACTAAACCATATATATATCTTGATCTATAAGCCAATTTTTCCAACCTCTAAAACTTTACAAAAATCAGGGGTTGACTAAAACACCAGTAATAAAGTTATACATTCTTTAATTTTGGAACATTGATGCCTTATAAACAGTGAGATATGAATAATTCTGCATAAAATTATCTTTTTAAAAAACTATTTTTAATATATGCTGTAGACATTAAATTTTATATTTTCTCTAACGGTATTTCCTTAACATATAATTTCTTTTTTTAAGAAATAATATTTTAAATTACATAAAGGGGAAAAAATTAAGTGTAGAAAAAGTTAAGATAATTTATTCAAGAGTATTTCAAAAAATATAACGCAAGGAAAAACTTTTAAAATGCACCATGAAGCTTCAAATTTAAAAATTCTAGATCATCTGTGTCGTCATATGGACCTCACTCTGCAATTGATTCTACTTCATCATTAGATCAGCAGAGTCCCACAAAAAATAATCCAAACAATTTGAAAATCTGCACTTTTAAAAGAATTTTACAACAACTCGACATACCACAAATTTACTATATTTTAATCATAAATACGGATTATTAACTTACAAAATGGGTCCATTTATACACTGCAATATTACAGTATATATATTAGATAAAAATTAAACAATGAGTTGTGCAAAATATAATAAGAAATTTAATTTTATATATTTTTTTTATTGAAATAAGAAGCCTCATTGTTAAGAAAATTAGTTTTTTTAAATTATTATCTCCATAGAATTCACTTAGTAAGTTAGTTTTTATCTCATTATCAATAAAGGTTTTTAAAATATTAATTTAAGAAAAAAAGCGAGAACAAGAAACAAAAATTACAAGTACATAAGTTACAACAAACAAATAAAGCATACTTATTGCTAGTCTATTTGCCAGGTAATGAGTTAAGGTATCTAAAGGAGTGGAACATTTTACAAGAGGTTCATCTTCAAATATTCCTAATCTAGAATAGAAGATACAGAAAAATAATTTTAGTTATTTCTTAAAATAACTTATAGTGTGTAAAGATATACATAAAAATATATCTTTAAACAGAATTTTCAATGAATTAATAATAACAAACACTCCTTAAATTTTATAATAATCGTATTAACTTTAATTCATTTCTATAATCTGGTTATTTGGAAATCATACAAAATATTATGTTTAAATCTGCTCATTGGTTCGAATCAAATGTAGTTTCAAAATAAAACTATTTAGAAAAAGTTAAATATGTTGGTAGATTTTTTATTTCTCAAAGAAACAGAAATTACGTCTAGTAAGAGACAAGTTAAAAATGACCTCTTTTCGAGGTGTATACACCTCTTTTCCAGAAGTATTTTAAGAAAATTCCAGCCTGCCACCACAGCATAATATATGTACTGAGGACAAAATAAATTAGATACAGCACAATGAGAAACATTTGCACCATCAGATACCAAAGCTCGAAATTAATGGTGGTCCATTGATTCAGGACCATTAAAATCGATCTCAGAACTTTAAAAAATAATTCTTAATGGTTTCCTGGCTTTTAAAACTGATAAAAATTCCCTGTTCTATGGCCAGCCTAATTAAAGAAGGAAAAAAATCAGTAAATTTGGCAATTAAATACAATCTCCTATTCTATTGAATTTTGAGAGTCACATCTTCAATGGTTTTTATGCTTCTAAAATTGAGAACAACATTACATTTTAAATTTGATTAAGTTTTTACAAATTTTACTAAATTGTACACATTACACATGATATCCAAGTTCAAACTCACTTTTCTAAATCAGATAAATTACTTGATCTTCCAACCAAATCTAAAGCTCTATTCTTAAGGGTGGATGATAGCATTTCTTGATCTTGATGACCAAGAAGAGTACAAAGAAATTGTTTCTATGGGATTAGAAAACAGATTCTGATTAATGATATACTGGAATAGATCAATTATAGGCTAACAAATTTTTTTTATTTACAATATGTTCATGCTACAGTTCAATTATGTTAAATATGCACATTCATACCTGCCAAAATTAGAGAAATAAAATAAAGGAAATTTTATTAGCGACATTCTTTAGGCTACGAGAAAAGTTTTGATACATCATGCATAATCATGGAAGTCAAAAAGAGAAATTCAAAATTGGAAATAAAATAAGCACTTACAATTCATGAAGGAAAAGAAATATGTATATAAATCTTAATCTAAAGAAGACTTTTTTAAACCATTATTCATAATTACTTAAACTATTTTATAACCGTTGTTCAACAGCCGACCCAATTCAACAGCTGACAGCCTATTTTATTAACACTAAACATAGTGCAGTACTGGCAATAACACTATCTGTTGAGAAAGAAGAGAAGTACTTTTGCCATCAACGGATATTTTCTCCACAATTTATTTATTTATTTTTTAAAATTTCTACAAGAAATACAGAGAAATTTGAGAATATGCGGGTAAACAGGAGATAATCGTAAAGTACAGGAGTCTTCATTAAAAAACAGGAGGTTTGGCAGGTATGCACATTACACAGCTCACAAGCAGATTGACTAGAGTAGTCCCTAAATGTGCAGAATCGAGAGTTTTCCTCCATTCACCCAGGTAATGTAGGTATTAATGGTTTCCGTGTCATTTAGGTTTATATTTTCTCATTCTATTAACTAATTTGTCGATTGCTTGTTTGTATTTATTGACTTGATTCTTTAGATAGGGAAAAATAACTCAATGGCATTATGCCAATTTCCTTAATTGTAATAACATTTTAAACAGTTCGATTCTAGTTATAAAAGTGATTGATGATTAATTCTATCAACTAATGTGTTGAGAGTTTGATCTAGTAACTTGATTTAGATATTGAAAAATTAAAAAATAACATTAGGTTAATTTAAGTGTACAAAAATGTTTCTATTGTTCCAATTAAGATTACCTAAGTAGTTTAAGACACAATTTTTTTTTTTTTTTTGGGGGGGGGGGGCATTTTAATGCATCTTTTTCGTCACTTTGTGTGTTAGCTAAATAATATGTAGAATAATTGATTTCTAAGCTTTGGCAATAACATTTAGTACATAGTAATTTAAGTAAATTCGTTAATCATTTTTTAAAATTTATCTAACCACCCCTATGAGCATCAAAGATAATAATCAAATTGGTGGAAAATTATTAAACCTATCTTTGAAAAACAAAGTTTTGAGAAACCATTTAAATTTTAAAAAAAACTTAATTGATTTACACACACAACAATGCAAATCCTTTTGTACCTTTATTTTTTAATAAGTTATGATATTCAACATATACCTTTAGAACAATGTTTTAAAAAATATAAAGAATTTTAAAAAAATGATTGTTTCAAAATTTCACAATGGTCTTTTTAAGTAAACAACAAGTCAATTTTTAGAAAAAATGCTTGTTGTCTAAGAAATATGAATAGAATAAATCCCACAAGGTTACATTCTCTAACTTTTTAATTAAACTTTATTACATCTTGAAACTTTAAAATTAGTTTTTCACAAGTAAATAAATTATGATAAAAACAAATAGATTAAAACATATTTTCAAATTTATATCTTTAATATGAAAGATAAATTATTGTTATTAATTTTTATGTCTATTTGTTCTAAGTTAAAATTTTAAAAAATATTGTTTCATTATAAGTTTTAAGAATATCTTTTTTTTAATCCTTCAATGAGGAAGTAAAAGAGGTGCCTAAAGAAGTTGAGTAATAACAAATTTAGTACTTCCATTATCTTCTTATCAAACCAACCAATGGAAACAGTGATTAATTAATATCAAACCTATCCAAAAATACAAAATAATAGTTTAAAGCTTAAAACTTGATTTTCTTGATTTGGTGTTAATTTAATGTCAGTTATCTTATATATATATATAATCATATATATTTAAACTCACAAATATAGAAGTACAGAGAACATGTATATCGAAGAGCACAAAATTTAAAAAATACAATAGTACAAAAATATTGTTTCACACACCCATGATATTTCAGGTCCTTTTGGATGAAGACAAGGATGAGGTTCCATACTCAAAAGACCCAATTTCAAGAGAGCTTTCATTGCTTCCGAAAATCCCTAAAAATTAATAAATGTAGTACTGTGTTAAACTTAACACACACAAAAAAATCCAAAAATGATAAAACAGTTTGATTTGAAACGTAAAACATACATAAAGTTACCAACAAAAAATTGGAAAATAAAAAGGAAAAATTTTGTTTTCCTCATTCATGTATGGGTAGACAACATTTTCTTTTACAATTATTTTATGCTTGGAAAAAACAATTATTACTCAGGCAGTCTAAGTTAAGAACAACAATAATTACCGTCAACTATTTCTAAGCAACAATTAATTACAATTTTCACAACAATACAGATATTCTAAACTACAATCAATTGCTACAATTGACTCATAAAAGTCTATGCCAAGAGGACTCATTAGAGTATTTATTTTTACCTTAAAAATTTGTTTTTTACTTTATAAATACTTTTAATTTCAAAAACCTATCCTTGAAAAATTATAAAATTTAACAAGACTGATTTGATTGGATAAATTACAGTAACTCTTAATGCTGGATTAACTAATTACAAGCACATTCCACTTCAGTTTGTCCTGTCATCGAACTCCAATTCCTATAAATTTTAAATACACAATTATTAACTATGAATGGATAAATAGCAACTTTGAGCCCAGAGCAATTTATTACTTAAAATTCACAGAGACCTAAAGATTAAACCTAAGCTGCTAGTCTAAAGCAAAAAAAAGAAGAAAAGAAAACGAAAAAAAGAATAAAGCCCAAAAAATGGGCAATATTATATTATGCCTATTTCTGTACTTTCATTTATGTTTTATTCCTTCTTGCTTCAGTCTACTTAGCACAAAGTATACCCTATCCTTTTCGGCTAAACTGCTAATGTTGGATAAGTTAAATTTGATCTTTCTTTTTTAAACGAGAAAGTAAAAAACTGGATATCTTGCATCATATGACTCTTTTTTCCCCAAGGTCTGCATGAACTGAATATTTATCCTAATGCAAATGTTTTATTTTATGTGATTTGCTATCACTTTGCCCTTCTACAATAAACAAAGAGAAGTCCTTCCTCCACACACAATGTAAAAATTCAGAGTTAATAACCTGCATTATTTCTTTACATAATCAAATGTATTATCTTATAAGATATGTTTTCTCAACTTGCACAATACTCATGGATTTACAAATGCTAAAATAATTTATTTCAGCCAGAACCCTCTCCAGCTCATGCCACCAAATAAAGGTAAGACTTTACTACTTACTCAAAACTGGAGGAAAATTGTATTGCAATACTTGAGAGAAACAATTTGTGGAGCATACTTGGTGGTATAAATTAAAACAATAATTGGAGAAGGAGATTTGACTTTGAACTGTACAAGATTTATTAAGAGTCTGATTTTCTTGTAATTAATGAAAAGAATTGGAGATCAAAGATAAATTGGAAGTCGTTATGGAGAAATCTTCAGAGGAAGGCATTGGCCCACATTGGGCTGTCTGGCCAACTATGATTACTACTTTTATTCTAGTCTTCCCACTTTCTTCTTCTATGAGCCAGTTCATAGAAGAAACACTAATTTTAAAGTTAGATCTTTTACCTACACAATAGCAAAATATAAGTTAATTATCATAAGCAATTAATAATATACACCACTGGTGGCCAAACATAATGCATTGAATGATTACAACTTGCCCAATCAGTTCAAATAATACTAGAATGCTTTGTGCCTCTCTAGTTTGCATTAACATTTCTATTTCTAGATAATTGATTAACCATAACTAGTTAACAAAGACGATTGTACTCCGGAAAAATCCGGATTTTTCGCTAACCGCAATCCGGAAGTTCAAGGTCCAGAAGTTTTAAGAAATCATCGATCACATTTATGTACAAAAATTCTTGTATATTTTATTTAGAAATATTAGAACTAGAATTTATACTTGGCATCTTTTTCATTTGTAAATATTTTTTCCGGTAGAATAATAAATGTGATTAGACATAAAAGTCGTTATGTCTGCATAATTTAAATGAAAAACTTAATTTTTCATTTAAATTATGCAGCATATAATTTTTTTTGTTGAAAATATCAATGATTTAAATTTATAAAGACATTAATCTTTTGAAATGCTTCATTATTGATTTTACTCGAGAAATTTTTAGGATTTTTGAGTTGGGCTCACAATTACCCCCGTAGTTAAGGACACTGAGTAAAACTTTAGCTTACATAAAAAGTTTATATAAAAGAATAAGGCCAGAGTTGTATGTCACATCTGACAAAAAGTTGGCACATGTTATGCAAAAGGTTAACCACTTCTGATGTACATCTTAAAAAAACTTTAGTCGAGTCAAATTTATTACTTTATAACGTAGAGTTCCTCTAATAACAGTTTCAGCAGATTGTATATCATAAGCATTGATGTATTGTGTTGAGTCCCTATTTGGATATCCTTCTAAATTGAATCCTGGGAGGAAATCGATATCTCGGATAGAATCCATTAAAGCACCACCAGCTGGAATTTCCACAATCTGGAATACATAAATATAATATACACAAATCCGTCTGCATGATAAAAATGAATCATCACTCGTAGTCTAATGACAAAAATTGGTAGATTGTATATTACAATAAATAATTGATTATCAAAAATGCCCAAAATTGGTAAGTTCAGCATTTTTAATAATTAATTATTAAAATAATAAAGTAAAGTTATAATAATCTAATATAATTTTTGCTTTTTTTAGTGCATCAACTTCTAACAATGACTATTCCATATCCAAGAATAGTATACACAAATATGTATCACAATACAACATTTTTTGTACGTCTTGAAATATTATGCAATTCTTGGATATAAAAATGACAAAGTTCTAAAAGATTTTTTTCTAAACAAACAACTTTTTTGTAATAATTACAAAATTTTTAAATTTTTCCAGTTGATTATTTTTTTTTTTTTTGCTGAATCAGGTGAAGGACTCGAATGTACAATAGTAATGTAAAAACACTGACATATAAAGAGAAGCTAAAAGTAATTACAGAAATGAATCAAGGCAAGTATTTACAGCTAAAAAGTTTGAATTTTTTAAATCAATGATATCTACTTTTTGATGAAAAAAATATGCATTGAAGATGTTTCTATAATTATAGATAGGTTAATAGCTCTTAAATTGTGTGTAATTATTTTCTTGAAATAAAAATAGATTAAAAATAAACTTGAAATCTAATATTATTTTATAAACAAAATAATATACTTACTTTGCCATTCTCAAGATATTTTGCTTCAGCTGTGGTATTTAGTAAAACACCTCTAGGATTCCAGCTAAAAGAAAGGATAAAAAAAGTTTGAACCACATGGAAGATTAAAAATTATTTTAGGTATGGGAAATTCTCCAAAAACTGAACTCAAAAAATTTAACTTTTCAACTAATAAATCCACACAAAATTTAGACCATAAACAACAAAAGGGCGGTTCATATTAAATTTCTAAAAATGATTCCAGTGCTTACAAATTTAATTTCATCATTAAAAACACTGAGTGTAAACATTTTTAAAAAATAACCATTAACGGAAAGATATCAAGTTTTCATAAATGTACACGTTTGTGAATGATCTAATTCTTTTACAATCTATGATATATTAAATGAATCAATGAAGAGAATTATAGAATTTAATAATCAAATATAAATTATTATCAATTAAACTTCAATATTGTTAGTTCTCCTTTTGACATGTTATTCTTCACTTTGGCAAATTTAGATACAAATATGAAAATAATCAGAAGCAAGGTTTAAATATCAGCAAATAAAGGATCTAAAATGTATAAAACTTGAAAAACTGAAAAAACTTTTTTCCAAGATATGTGGATTTGAGACAATCCATTTTCAAATCATGCTAGGTTAAAAATACAGTATGTTAGTAAAAAACCACTTATTAAAGTAATAAAACCATTGATAAAGTTCTAATGTTTTTTAACAGCAGCACAATTTTACATATAACTTTAAAGGAATTACAAAAAAGGTGTTTAAATTGAAAAACTCATAAATCTTACACTAAAGTAACCTCATAATACTGCTATTACACAACTAGTAAATTTGAATAATTTAATTGGTTATAAATACTAAGTTTATATAGTTGCACAGATATAGAAATTAGGTACAAAATGATAAACAAAAACAATATTTTGAAAAAGTTACATGCTAAATTTTAGAGTGCAGTATTTACCACAATAACAATTACAGCTGTGCCATTTTATTTTAAAGCTATGAAAATTAATCACAGTAAGATGATTTTTAAAACAGAGTATTCAATATAGAGTTCTTACCTGAACTTATACCTTAAAGGATTATCTGAGAATTCTGGAGCTGGCAAGCCACCACAAAATGATACAAATGATGTTATCTTCAAATAAAAAAATTTTAAAAATTAGTTATTATTCATAATGAAAATAATTTTATAATTTACTATTATATAAAAATCTGTTTATGGAAAATTTAATATATGCTTAACACGTAGGGGGAAAAAAGCATTACTGCAAGGGGTCATGGAGATTAAGGTTCCACAACTTCACGACTGTGGCTATGTGGTCAATATTGCTCACAGGCTCGCTTTACTTCTAAGACAAGCTGGTACACATTGATCTGAAACTGGATGGGTTTCAAGCCACCACTGCAGATTGAACCCTAGTTCTTTAAAAAGACAGTTCAATGCCTTAACCGCTGAGTCATTGAGGCTCTTAAAACATAGAATGTTTATCAATAAAACATTGCAGGCTGATGCATTTTCCATTGAGTATTTAATTATTTTTATTCCTATTCACATTGTTTGTTTTTTATAAAATGATTAAGTGCTAACAAATAAAGAATTAAGTAAAATTTCAATGTATTTATTTCCAAAAGCTTGAAGTAGAATAACAATGTTTAACATAGCAGCGTCCTCTTCTGCTCTTATTGATGATCTTTTACCACATTTTTGTTTGATAATAAAAATTAACTTTAGTTTAATAAATCATCAGATAATAAATTTAAGACTTTTATAAAGAATAGAAACACTTATTGTTCATGCTACATACTCATTATTATGTAAAAATGATTGATTGGATTTAGAACCAATGTTACATGCCAGCAGAGTTTTTTTAAAAAAAATTTTTAATACAATGCAGCACAATACTTTATAATTTTAAGTTTTATACTCAAATAAAATCAAAGCAGATCCTTTAAGTTTAGTCTAACCAAAGTGCTATAAATTTTTTCACAATTGCATATAATTCTTCTTTAGAATGCAAGAATATATCAATGCAAGAATATATAAATAATGTGCACGAAAAATAAGGAGCCAGAAATTGAACTTCTCAATAACCTATAAGTCTGCAAAAAAAAAAAAAAAAAAAAAAAAAAAAAAAAAAAAAAAAAAAAAAAATAAGAGCCAAAAATTTAAAACTGCTTTTTAAAGTGATTTCTTGAATTAAAACTTTTAACATTCGAAAAGTAAATAAAATAAAGAATTCAATTTGTCTGGAAAAACAAAAGAAAAATATTTATTTAAATTATAAGAAAACATGCATTTAAATTACACGATAACCAAGAAAAAAAATTTTTTTAACATTTTTTCAAAGATCTAGCATAAAGTTTAAACTAATATAAAACTAAGGATGTTTAAAAAAAAACAGTAAATTATCAAAGAACTTGAGTTATTTTCAATGCAATTAGTTAGAAGTGCAACTTAATGACATATTTCATACCTAATAAGTGAATATTGAATTCCTTAAATTGAAAAAAAATTTCATTTCTGTGGTTACTAAGCAATTTGAAGTAAATATCGTACAATTTTAAGTAACAACAATTGTTAATAATGCTGATAGTTTACCTTGCCATTATTTAGTCTGATTTCATCAAAACACTCCATAGCCAACAAATGGTCAATGCCAGGATCTAATCCTACCTCATTCATAATAGTTATACCAGCTTCACAAGCACTTCAAAAAGAAATCACTCCAAATTAATCACACATAATATGTTTTGAATGATATACTTAAATCATAATAGTACACACTTGCTACATTAAACTATAATCTAACTATTTTGATGTAGAAATATGAAATTTTATACTTAGTGCAATATATAATTTAAATGCTTTCTACCATTTATTTCAAGCAAGAAAATTAACAGTTTTCTAATGTTCAGTTTCATCTGTGTTGAAAATAAAAACTGATCTTAATTTTCTTTAAGTAAAAGTCAGATAGAAAAACAAATTGCACTCTGGGAAAACACCACAAAGCGCAATTTATTGCTGTAAATTAATAATATTTCCTTCCTTTATTGGTGCAATAAGAACAATGTCAATTTATTTTATAGATTTAAACATAAATACTGTACATAATAGTTCAAAAATATATGTTTGCAAAGTAAAATAATTTTTTTTTTTTTAAAGACAAACAGTTTAATCTTTTGCTGGATAAATTATTCACATTTTCATATATGTAAATAAAAAACTCATCTTATTTTGGGAATTTCTATTAGAATCATAAAAATGTATTTAAAAAATTTAAATTTCTATTGCAAATAATTTCATATTCAGATTACGATTATTTAAGGCAGGAACCACAAAGGGTTTATACCAGCAATTATGCACCTCCATATCAAAGTTAATTGTGTGCTATGTTATAAATTGTGTGGCTAAGTTAATTGAGCGATAAATTGTGTGCTATGTGAACAGTTTCCAAATAAATTTGATAAGAACAAAGTATTTTAACACAAACTGTATATTTCCGGATAAAAGTGCCACTGTGATTAGCTGAAAATGCATATTCTTCAACAATGTACTCTTAAATTGAAACAGCAGTGTAATTAAAAGTAAAATTATATCTCAACCTTTGGCTTACGGTTGATGCAACATGTGGACCACATGTGATGATACAACACGGTTCACCATAAGCAAAGGGTTAGTAAAAATATCCATGATGATTAAGAACTGATACAGGCCTCAAATGTGAAAAATAAGTTGTGTGAAACGAAAACTACTAAGGTGTGGAAAGGACTGACATAAGTGCTTCAAGCCTTAGATGCTTACTTAAACAATCCCTTTAAGGACTTACATTATAGTTTTAGGGGTACGTTTTGTAACTTATTAGCTGGCCAGACAGAAAGCATCTTAACTTTAAAAAAGTTCTAAGCATTTACACTAAATATACAGCATGCCGTTTCTTCCAGAAGGATAATACTACCATTCGAATTAAGCTTTCATTATTCATGAAAGCAAATTGAGAATAATTTTTAAAAATAATTGTACCAGATGGTGGATGACTTAGGAGTATTAGCTTTTATTATTATTAGCTTATTTTATTTAAATTATTATTTATTATATTGAGTATTAGCTTATTTTGTTTTTTAAAAAAATTTACATAAAACTTTCAATTTGAACTAATCACATTACTAACAATAAATTAAACCCTTTAAGGATTAACAGATCACAGAAAATTATACTGTTCTTAAACATGAATGCAATTAAATTAAATGAACATTGAAAAAAAAATAAGATTGAAATAAAAAAAAGTTAAGTGCAATTGAAAAATCTTTCAAAGAATGAGTAAAATTAATTGATCAAAAGAAAAATTTGAATATAAATTTTTAATTTTTTCAAAGTTTATAACAATAAAACAATTTTTCTACTATATTGATTACTTTTACGCAAACAAATACTAAACTATACAAGTAATTTGTTGAAGTTTTAAGTATAATTGAAGTTAACATATAATCTGAAAAATGCGTAAAAAAGAGATATAAAATATGATTTGTACTCACGCTTGATGTAGTTCTTTCATTTGGGGACTTAAATAACTGGCAGTCACCATATTAACCTTGTGTTTTATACAACGTTCAGCAACTGTTGGATGTAATGAATAAGGAAGTAGGCTAAAAAAATAAACAAGTATTTCAAAACATTTTTCTTACAATTCATTTTAACAAAATAAAATACAAAAAATTTATTAGTATAGAAAAGGGGAAAATTTGTTCTAAAATTAACATTGAATGATTTTAGGCATTTAATAAGTTTTCTTATTTCATACACAGTTTCAATCTGGCTTTCTTACGAATCTTTCTTTCAATCTCACCTTTCAATTTTTCAAAGAAATGCTCAAAGTGTAAAGAAGTTAAACAGAAGTAAATTTGTTCTTTTTTTTCTTTCGTAGAGAGAAAAATGAATTGTATTATTTATGTACTTTCACAATTTAAGAAAATATGAAACTCAAATTACTCAGATAAGAAAAGGCGGAGTTAATATGATATATTTTAAAAACCCTTATCATTTTGAGCTTCCGAAATATTTTAAATTTTTAAGATATTCAAATAGACTTTTTTTATTAGTTGTCAAATACAATTCACTACAAAATTAAATTTTTTTTTAAAGCTTTCGCCACACGTCAGCAGCATAAAACGAATAGATTAATTACTCATATCTTGCGCAGTTTTAAACAAATTGTGCTCGAATTTTTAAACAATAATTTCATAATTAATTTTAAATTTTTTAAAGAACTAAGACTGTTCAGTAAAAACACTAGTCTTCATTTACATAGCTTGAAATCAATAATTAAACTGATGCTAAATATGCAGTGGTTTCAGATAAACATAAATTATGTGATAATTATTCTCATGTTCTACAAATATTTAATTCCATTAACTCTTAATTTTTTATTCTTATCTGAAGCTAATAATTTAAAAACCAAAATTTAAATTCATCATTTTTTTAAATCAAAAGAGATGCAAAAATTTATAAACACTACATTATTGTTCCAAAAGTGAAAAGTTGTAAAAACTAATTTCAAAACCAACAAAAAACAAAAAAAGAACATAAGTTATTATCCAAGAGTTAAATAACTCGAAATGGCATTGGCAAAGTGTTGAATCTGAATGTACACAAATTACTTTAACTAACTAATTACCTAACCACCAGACTAGATTCTTCAATCAATTTGTCTAAGTTATTGCTTCCAGTTGTAACATCTAAGACAACATGTTCTGCATTATCAGACTTAACTAATGCTTCTCCTTGATTTTGAAGGGATGAGCCTAAAAATGAATAACATAATAAATAAATCATATAAAACTAATCTGTAAATCAAAAAGATTATTAGAAAAACATGTTCAGTAACAATTAAAAAAAATTTACTTTCAAATACACATTTGATGCTCGATATAATGACCCCTGTGGTGCAATTGAAAATGGTCATTATAATGTCAGGTCGGTATAGAGTGAGTACTCGCAACTAAATCAAATATTTACCCAAAACTCATGAATACTGCACTTTTCTTCAACAAAAACATTCCATTATCCACTTCCTTGAAGGTTTTAATTTCTATTCTATGTACATGGCCTTACACTGGTTACGAGCAGCCTTTTACTTGCACTTTACTTTTCTTGGAAAAAAATACAAATATTTGTACGAGAATGTAGAATGAAATCATCACTTTTTTTCTGAATTTTCTTTCTTTTTTTCCAATTTTCTTTTTAAAAAATTTTTTTTCCCAACATTTTTTATTTATTTTAAATTTATAAATTTAATTTATATAATGAATTCATAATTTTAATTTATATATAAAATTTATAATTTTAATTTATAAATTTAATGTATTATATTTTCTTTAAAAGCTAACTTTCATTCCCAAACATCTTTAGGGATTGAAATTTCTTGAAAAGAAAAGGGCAGCTCTCATGACTTTTCTGCAAAATTCAAAAACTCAATGAAGTTTTGCAAAACTTAGTGACTTAATGAAGAATTGAATACTCAATGATTTTTGTAAAAGATGATATATGTCCCGATGACCGATAGGAAAACACTTTTATAATTCAAATGTCACTCGATCTTATCTTTATTGCTCTAGGAATAGTGTTGTCAGACTCTTTTTTGAATCTCTAACACTTTTCCATGGCCTGGAGGGTCTAGAGGCCTTTATCCCAATTTCACACGTAAATTTCTTCCTGTGGAAACTTTCTGATGATTCTTTTTTTTTAAAAAAAAAAACGTTAATGAGTAACCAGAGTGAAGCACAACCTTGGACTTCAAATGAGCTCACCAGGAGGACAGATTTTCTGCCGTAAGAGTTTTGTTTTTGTTCATTACTCTAAAATAATGTTCCCTCGAGCCATCTATAGCCCCTTTTTTGGTAGGTTGAGAAAATATTTATTCACTTTTTATTACATGTCAAATGAAATAATTCACATATTTAATATTAATTTAACATTCTGTTATCAATAGAAGTTGATTAGTTGAATAATTTGAGTCCTTCATAATTAAAGAAATTCTGTTATAACTTACTTAGGAATCAATTAATTTTACGAAATCATTAATGTTTGTTTGTCTATCTGTGTGTTGAGGTCTGAAGCACAAACTTTATATCTACTTAGAAATTTATAGCTATTTAGAATTTTCAGTTTCAAAGAAATTTAATTTAAAATTTTTACTTTTTAGTTTTGTACTTGTACTTCTTCAAATCAAAGAGAAGAATTTTTAGAATGTTTATCTTTTTAATCTTTAGAATTATAATCTTTTTAGAATTTTTATTTTGCAAAAATAATTTGCCAATTTCTTATAAATTATAAGTTTTATCATTCACTATAAAGTAGATTATACTGGCATAAAAATTTTCATTTCTTACAATAAAATTTTGTTTTGACCATTTGAAAAATAAACAATGAAGAAAATAATAAATAATTATAAAAAAATAGTTTCTCAGATAGCATTCATTTCAGATAAACTTGTTTTATAATTTGTATGCAAAGTCATTGCTTGCAAAAATTTTTGATTCACTTCATTAGAGAAAAAAATACGGCGAAATATCCATAATGTAAAATTAATAATTTACATTACATTAATTGTATATTCCTGAGAGCGGCTACCCCATATAATGGAATCAAAATATGTACAATAACAAATATGAACAAATAACACATAGATGATAAATCTATCATTATACAGTTAAAAAAATAAAAATGCATACCAATAGTAACATGAATTGTAGAGTCTCTTGTTAAGTAGTCAACAAGAGGACCAGCAACATAACCAGCTCCAAGAACAAGAACCTTCTTCGCAGATTTTTGTACCAGTGATTGAGCTTTCATTTGTGACCTGAAAAGCAAATAATGAACAACAATTCAAATAATGAATTCTTTACATCTCTAGAGTATTCTATGCAATTTTAATAGAAATCATTATTTTTTTAATAAACTTATAATATATATTGTATTGCAATGCGTTCTAACAGCATACATATTTGCTTCAAAATATTGTATATTTATTTGCTTAAAAATTGAATTGTTGATAAACTTCAAATAAAAAAAAAAATCAAGAATAAAATGAAAGAGATGCAATTCAAAATAATGCTGTATCTTCTTAAATTTATTTTTAAAATCTGTGTCAGTTTCGAACAGTCTTAAACCTGTATTTTTTTATTTCTTTTTTACACTTTCCATGATTATCAAATTTGAAATCACATACATTTCCATTTTGTTCCTTAAATTCAGATTCATGCTGTGATATTAAAGTTAAAATTTCTAGTCGTTTTTCAATCAATTCAGTTTATTAGTAAAGGATTGAATACTTTCTTTCACTTAAAGCTGTCATCTAGGGTACTAATTTTGCTATAGAAGAGTTAGATGTAGTGGGAAGTAGAGAAGAAAAATTCTGCTAGTTTCGAGAATGCACCATGTTTTTTCTAAAGTTTTGTTTAAATTACAAAGCATTAAAATATACCTGAATAGTTTTTTTAGGAGCACTCCTGATTTTCAACGTGTAAATTACGCTTGTAGAAGAGTTAAAAATACCTCTGTAAGAAATATAAGCCAGTACTTTATCAAACCATTCCATTAAACTCTAACATGTTTTAAAAAGATATGATCAGCAAGATGCAAGATAATAGTGTTTTATTTTTTTAAAAATAATTTCCTTTTCTATTTAACTTTTAAACCTCAGTCTTATGCCAAACAATTAAAAGATAATCCCCTTATAAAACTAACTCACTTTTGTCTAAAAAAAACACAGGTAAAGCATCTGTACATGGCAACAAGCATAAGAGATGAAATTTTATTACATGAAGTCACAACTCATGAAAAACAATTTAGAACTTACACTGAGGTATGTCTTAGTTCTGCAATATATTCAAAATTAGGTGTCAAGGAACCATTGCTTGCAATAATTGCCTATAAAATGAGAGAAAAATATTAATATCACTTATAAAACTTACGCGATTAAGTATTAAAAACTTGTAACTTAAAAATTAATAATGCTTGATATTAAATATCTTTCAAGTGAGACATAATGGAGCAATTGAAATTAAAAACAAAAAATTTTCAAAACAATTTTTTAAATCAAATCAATGAGAATAAAGGAATTCAAATTTGTCCTTAAGTATTCATTATATATAAATTTACTATCCTCAATAAGTTAAAAATCATTTCTAACTCTTGTTAAATGGAACTTAAGAAAGAAAAAAAAACTACTTTATATTCAAAGTTAAAAATATAAAATAAATATTATAAAAAGGAAAAAGGTCTGAAAAATATGAATAAACTATTCATTTATTAATTATTTTTAGTTATTTTAACAAAATAAAGCCATAAACAAGATAACAATTAATAAAAGTCTAAGAGTAGATACCTTTTAATAATCCCCTGTAGCATGGAAAAAAGTACCACCACTAACTACATTAAAAGACTGTATAATTATGTCTAATTATGTCTATTTCTGAAAAAAAAGTGATAAACCAAGAAAAAAAACTACTAATACTTACACCCTGAACTGTAGGAAGGAAATTATGCTGTTCTAAAGGTTTAGTGGCATCAGAGGACAGCTAAAAGCAAACAAAATAATTATTTAAGAAAATCTCAAAAATTCTTTAAAAATCTTAAAAACAATAAAATTAATAGGTCAAACTAGAGCCGTGATGGATCAGGAGATAGAGCGTTCACCTTCCAATGAGGTGAATTGGTTTGAATCCCAGTGATGATTGGTCGATACTAATTCCACATCGGCTCACACTAACCTCAGTGCTGACATGAAATATCCTCAGTGGTAGATGGATCATGGGTAAGAGTCCCCTTGCCCCATCAGGATAAATAAAATAAATTAAATGACTAAAACAGAAGATGGAAATTTTGAGGTCATGAAGCTCTGTGATTCTTGATTGCTCTGTGGACCACATGAAAATATATAATTATTGAATGATCCCAAGTCAAGTTCAAAGATTATGATGTATAAATAGAAGAGTGCTTGAAGGTCATTAGCTTCCCAGTGAAAAAGACGATGGTCCTTCACCAACAATGTAATAAATAGGGCAAAAAATTTGGCAATGTTCAATTAGTCCAGATCAGCAAAAATTCGAGAAATTTTTTGGTTCAATTTCAGAGGGTAAAAAATGAAGCCAGAAATTAAGAATCTCATGCAAAATGCAACAGAGAGGTTGGAATCCTTCCTACTGAATCAAGCTGAGTATACATGCATGCAAACCTACAAGTATTTCATCAAACATGTAAAATTATTGGGGCTTTCATATGCTATGCACGAAGGTACACTGAAAAAAATTGTAATGGAATGAACTATAAAAATGTTGAATAAAACAATGTGAAAACCACACTTATTACATAATTCATGGCAAAAATCGACATGGTAAAGAAAAAATATATCTTATTTTGAAAAAAGGGAAAATTAGCTATTTTTTACAAAACACCCAATGTAAAAAGTAAAACCTTTAAGGGCTTTTAAAAAACGAAATTAAGCACCATTAAGCACTTTTTAAAAATGCTATGTAATTTGTGTAATGCGTCAATATTACTGGTGTATAAGTCCACCCCTGATTTTTGAAAAATTTTGTGGGTTTGAAAGGTCAACTAATACACCTGGATATATGGTAATTAATAAATTAAATAACTAAAGGCCTGTTTAGACGATCCGATTTCTTTGACAGAGATTGATTGCTATTGATGGAAACTTGTTTTGCTTTGAGCTTGGATCGTGAAAACAATCATCCAAGAACTTGGTTAAACTTCTTGAACGATAGTAGAGCATGTTCTACTTTCCATCCAAGTTTTTTTTCCCCTTAACCAATCAGCGTCTCAGGTTTTGTGACGTAATAAGCAATGGTAATTATGGTAAGCTTAGGTAATTAAGCAATGTAAAATATAAACACTCACAATACTGTTCAAATAAGGACTTAATAGGTAACCAAAATAATCAGTAGCTTCTAAAGGCAATTGAGTTGGCATGTTATCTATAGAACACACAAGAACTCCTGGCCCTGCAAAACTGAAAAATTTTCTTATTAATAATAAGGTACATAACTCAAAGCATGCAAATTTTGTTTTAGCATTTTTAAAAACAAACAAAAAACTTTTGCCAACAACTATAAAATTTACTTATTGGCAAACAAACTTGGATAAAATGAAAAACTTTTAGCAAACACATCTCAATTAAAGAAATTTTTTCAAGCAGTTTAGTCTTTGAACTAGTTTCAACCATTTCGCCGCCACCTAATTTCGATAAAATTTGTTCGTGAATCATAGATTTTTTAAAAATTATTTTGATTTATAAAAAACTCTAAATTGATTATTATACATATCAGCATATTTTTCTTTAAATGTAGTAATTTTTTGAAGACATTAAACTAGTTATTGATTTACCAAAAATTTTCAAATTTCTAAAATTGACGACGGGGTAGAATATGGGAATTTTGACCCTTTTTTTTTCATAATGAGTAATAGGAAAAAATTTCTCCGCTGTAGAGGCAAACTTTCCCCTAACACTTTTTGCACAATCATGTATATTATGCATATCTGTTGACAAAACATGTTGATTCCAATCAGCCTACATTTTTCAACATAATTGCATTTCTTTTTTCTTAAATAAATAGTCTTAAAGAAAAAAAAGGCCATTTAGGTTAGTTTGTGTAAGCATAAAAAACATTCCAAATAAAAAAAAGATTTTTTTCACAATTTTTAAAACAAATAGAATAAAAAATTATAACAGTAAAAACTCTTTAGAATTCAAGCATTTTCAAAACTTTTATGCTTTAATTTTTAAAAATCATGAAGAACTGAGTCTGGAAAATAGTTCAAAATTTGACATGAAAGAAATTTACAAGACATTAATATTTACAAGATGAAATCGGTCAAATGTGTTCTAAAAATTTAAATATCAACTATTTAGTCAAACTGCTAGATTTCAATTATTAATTAATTTATTTATTTTGAATGAAATCATCAGCATTGGTTTAAACAAAAATGAAATAGTTCAAGTGTAGGTAAAAAAATTTGTTCACTTACTCAACAATTTTATTAAAAATAAATTCTAAATTCCTCTTCAGTTGTTTTTTTTTTTTTAACATTTGAAAAAGTAACTTGATTTTAATTACAAATATTTAAAAGCATAGAAATATATAAAACATTAAATTTATTTCAATCAATGCTTATGCAACTATCTAGAGACAGCGAAACCAATTTTATTTAAGAAAGTTTCATCGAAAACATAATAATCCTTGTAAAATGAGTTGCTAAAAACTATTTCATTTCATTTATTTGCAAAGTGGTACATATTTTCCAATGGTAGACAAAGGTTTTATCCATCTAACATTTCTATTGAACAAGGTACAAGGTGGAGTATACATTATTTGCTTGCTTTATTTTATAAAATAAAATTTGTCAGGCCTTTTTTTTCAATGCCTATCAGCTTGCACATTTTTGAATTTTGCAACGAAATTTCAATTTGGTTAAAACTAGGTACATGATTCTTTTCTACGATTGTTTGCTAAAATATATATAATGTGTAAAGTCTCGTATCCGGAATCGGTGGGACTTCCAGAAGTCCGTATAATAGATTTTTCCGTATAATACACCCCCAAGGTAAACAAAGCTTAAAATGATTTAATAAACGATCTGAATCTAAGAAGCAAAAAATAAATAAACACTATTTTTAAGGGGAATAATGTTTTAGCATTAAAATATCTAATCAATCAAATATAAAATATTAGAAAAAAAATATTATTGCTGAAAATATGGAAAACGAAAAAAATTTAACAGTTACGAAAATATTAATCCGCCATTTTGAACTAGAACGATTCAAGCAGGAAGGGGAAATTCTGGAACAAAGCTTAAAATGATCTAAATCTAAGAAGCAAAAAATAAATAAACATTATTTTTAAGGGGAATAATGTTTTAGTATTAGAATATCTAATCAATAAAATATGAAATATTAGAAAAAAAATATTATTGCTTAAAATATAGAAAACTAAAAAAAATTGACATATGAAAATAATAATCCGCCATTTTTAACTAGAATGATTCAAGCAAGAAAGGGAAATTCCCGTCATTCATTAAGCTGGGTAGATGGAGGAGAAAAATTCATTTCCTCCTTATTTGTGAAAGAAAATGAGTGTAAAGAGGAGATCATTTAAGTTGAGGGTGGGGAAGTAACAAATTATTGTTTTTTCTCCTATCATTGGCTATCAATCAAGCATAAAGGCGGGTTCTCTTTATTTATTTTTTTTATGACTGAAAGAATCTGCTAAAGAAAGAATGTTACCCCCTTTTTCCCCCCGCCTCTTAATATTACATGGTATGGGGAAGAACGAATGTTTTGTTTCTCAAGGACATGTATCCTTTTAGACCTATTCAAATTTTCCATTCGGACTCCCCCCCACCTTAACGCTTGCCCCGTTTACCCTTTTCCACAGTATTTCTTCTTTCAATAAAAAGATTCCAGGAAATGCCTCTTTTACTAGCCACCTGCATGGGAAAGGAGGGGGGAGGGGGACTCAGTTGCAGTCTTTTGAAAACAAATCTCCCTCTTTTTCCTACATTCCAAGGGAGGAGCGTCATTAATGGTCACTCAATGGACTTGGTAGAACTTCACTTTCCCTTTCTGGTGATTTATGGGTTCGATGCATGAATCAGAGGTTCAGTGCAAGCTAGAAAAAAAGAAAATGTGTCAAAAGATCTTTTTTTTTCCTTTTTTTAGGAAAGGGGAAGATGGAGAGATGTTTGTTTATTTTGATTGTTAAAAAGTGTCCGGGAAATCGACCCTTCCGGGAAAGGGACGTCCGGATATAGGACGTTACACTGTAATATAATTTTAATTTCGACTCTTTTTCTTCTTAATTTTATTAATGGCAACACATTTAAATTATTGATAATGTACTCATATTTTCAATTCAAGCCGGCTTTTCTCAATGCTCAAAAGTGTAATTTATTTTACTTTTCTTATTAATAATCCGATACTTCCACTCCTATTTGCTAATAATAAACAATTCCCTAATGAAACTACAAAAGCAATAAATTTCAGATCGCTTCATGATTGGCTTTCGCTTCACTCTCTCTCTCTCTTTTTTTGCTCTAGTTGTGTAGTATGCTTCAAACTTCAATATATTTTATGGTTTGCTTAAATTATAATTTTAAATTCAAATTTTTTTTTAAAAAATGAAACATTTCAAAGGTAGAAAATCTCCAGTCATAAACAGGTGTGGTTGCAAAATATTATAATGTAACTAAAATTATTTTTTTCAACATTAAAACACCCACAAAACATCAACATAAATCCTTTCATAACTTAATAGCTAATTAATAACTAATTCAAACAAAGTGAGACCTCAAAGTCATTTTTAGACATAAGGCAATCTTGACTTTTTGATCTTAATTCCAGGCATTAAACATATTTCATATATTATTTCTATTTCTTATTTTGCATGGCTAACTTTTGCATGACTATTAAATTTTTAAATGTTATTTGGAAATTTTAAATCACCACACGTAGTTAAAATATCAATAGAAATCAGCACAGTATTGAATTGCAAACTAAAACATTCCATAATTTACATTTGCAAAATTTAGTGGATGTAGGCTTTGCACAACATTTTTGTAAAAAAAAGTAGGAAAAAAAAAAACTCTTAAAGATCTAATTTAGTTTCATGTAATGTTATAATTATTCATTATTATATTTATTTATTCATTATACAACATTGATTTATTTTGAAAGTCTTTAAATTTCCGAGTTTTCAATGAATGAAAGTACTAAGTCACACTTTTCGAGTGTTTTGAAAGTGGAAGAAATTTACAAGTTCTTTTGGTAACAAACAGTTGATGAGTAATCTAAAAAAAAAACCTTCTCAATAGGCAAATCAAAATACAGTACAGAACCTGCTATCCGGAAATCAGAAAACCGGAAAACCAAAAAACCGGAACAAAATTCGATAAATTTTCCAGCAAGTTTAAAAAAAAAAAAATTTCCCCATAAGATTTTTGGATTTTTCTTTCTTTTTTGAAAGATGTTTACCTTACCATCATTTCAGAAATAATCATTAGTGCATTACCTCATCGTTTTTTCTTATTTTTAAGATTATTTCCAAATATTTTTTTTTTTTTAGTTGGGTTTAACACTAAAAAAACGGCTTTTTGTAGCGATTCAGAAAACCGGAAAAATCAGTTATCCGGAATAGCGATGGTCCCGATCGTTCCGGATAATCGGTTCCCTACTGTATTAAGAAAACAAGGTGTCAGGGGAGACTAGTTTAAATGAGCATTTTATAAATTTTTTGAATTAAACAGCTTTTGGATAAAAAATAAAACATCTTTATTCCTTACTTTCAGCACATAAACTTTAGAGATAATTTACTAAAATATTACTTAGAACCTTCAGTTATTGCATAGTAAGATAATCAATTCACCTTTCACTATTTTTGTGCTGATCAGCATCATACAAGCAGAAAGGGGTATCAATTGTGGTGCACTCAGACATAAATTCAATGGAACCTCCCGGATCTGCACTAATATCACATATGGCTAACAGGCGATGGGGCAGAGAGGGTGAACCTTCACTAGAGGGTAACCAAGGGGTGAAACTGGGTCTGAGTAAGTGTTTGGCATCCGGAATAGTTAGAAGTTTTGGAGAATTAACAGCCCAATAAATACCATTGATAATAACAGATGCATAAGGAGCAATCTAAAAAAATATTTTAATGAATTAGAATATCAAAAGAAATTAAATCTTTCATTTTGCTAATGAGCCACTGAAAAAATTTCAATATAATAGAGCCTTAAGTAGGCTTGTACAACCTTTTTCAAAGGAATGCAGAAGAAAAATATTTTTAAAAAAAATATCTTTAAGAAAAATATCTTTAAGAAAAATATTAATATGACCATAATTAAGTATTGCAAGTTGAACCTCTAATATTACCATATTGATAGGGTCACATCTGAACTGCTTAAATAAAATGCCACAATCTTAGGAAAATAATTTAAATTATGTCTTGACATAGAAAAGTAATAAATCACTGAAAGAAAAAATTTAAGAAACAATCATATAATAAACAAGCATACAATAAACTTGCTAATCTCAAAAAAGAGTCTTCATCATTAAGAAACCATAAGCATAGGGATACCACAACATATTCACAATTAACTTTTAATTAAAAAAAATAGTAACTAAAGTCTAAAAAGAAGACCAAGTAAATGACTTAAATAGTAAAAATTATATTTCAAATATAGATACATAAGTGCAATATCCACACTTTAAAAAATTCTAATTATCAAATCATATCAGTGAGCTGTCAGATCCACAAAAAATAGAACCAGAAAAAAAATATGCAATACTACTATGCACTAAATGCACTACTATGCACAGTACATTGAAAAAATTCTTTTTGAATGTTAATTCGTGAGAAAACCAACTGAAAGAGTTTTCTCCATTACTTCATTAACTCATAACATTAACATAGCTGACAACATGGATAGAAAAAAAAACAGTACATTTTACAAAATAATATAAATTTCATGATAATTGCTGCATAACGTAGTAAATATTTTACACACAGGGAATTTTAGAGTAATCAAAATAGAAAAATCACAATATTTTCCAGTTATGATCGACATTAAACATACTAGAAATGTTCTGCATTTTGTTTACACATATTTCAAATATTAATAGGCATTTAATTCATCTAAGATTATTTAAAAAAAATTTTGATTAATTAAAAAAGAGAGTTCTAAGTAAAAATAAACTGAAAATTTTAGAAGACAAAAGTTTTGAATTGAGTTCTATTCATTAGGCTCACTTCATTATGTATTAGTAATACTTATTTAATTATTCAAGCAAGCAATAATCTGTACAAAAATTTCATTTGAATAGGGATGTTTTAAGGAAACTTCTCAATTTTAGGGAATTTTCTAAAATGTATAAAAACCAGAAGAAACTGGCAAAATCTAGTAGTCTACCAGAAAATCCAGTAGAGTTAGCAGCTATGCATTAATAGTTAAATAAATAAATCCATTTATCTCAAGAAATCTCTGAAATACACTTAACTACATTAATAAATTATGAATTAAGTATTTTACAATAAATATAAATAACAAGAACATACTGTTTTAGCAAAGTTTGAATAATAACGATCAGGATGCAGTTCGAATTCTTCAGCATCAAAACCTCCGCCTTCTTTACGACGTATATGATCATCTCTGCTTACGACTGCACCATACACTTTATTCATGGCTAGACATGGTAAAAAAAAAATCTCACTTTTGAAAAGGGAAAATTAAGCACTTTTTAAAAACATCTAATGAAAAAAACACCTTTAAGGGCTTCTAAAAAACGAAAATCAAGAATAAGCACCTTTAAGCACTTTTTAAAAATGCTATGCACACTGTATTATAAAGAAGAAAAAAAACATACATATTGAAGAAAAAAACATAAAATTAGCAACTTTTGTTCTAAAAAAGAAAAGGAGACTCATATATAACATACACCCATGCACAGCAACCTGTGGCAAATCTGTAGGACTCACATATTCATATGGAAGTTCCTGAAAAACTTCTTGAGCTCCCTAAAATTAAAAAAAACAGCATATACGATATTCTGTAAATAACTACTTAAATATTAGCTTGTTTCTGCTTTTAAGAATTGGCATCATTTATAATACTGAATCTACGTCTGAAACACATTTAAAGATTATGAATGATTAACCGAATAATAATAAATATATGGGTAAAATTGGAAAAGCTTCTTAAAAATAGAGAGGCTTCGGGGTTACTATTTATGATTTATTTTTTTACCAAAGCTAAGAATTTACGCCATCCTTTAATCTTTCAAGAGTTGCATTTACATAGCTGCCAACATGGATAAGAAAAAAACCAAGAGATTTTGCAAAATAATATAAATTTCATGATAATTGTTTCATAATCTACTAAATATTTTATGCATAGGGAATTGTAGGGATTTTTATAGTCATCAAAATAGAAAGACTGCAAAATTTTCCTGTTATGATTGACGATAAATGAACCTGAAATGTTATGTACTATGTTTACTTATAATTTCAAATAATAATCAGCATTTAATTCATCAAAGATAGTTAAAAGATTTCTTAATCAATTTAAAAAGTTTTGAATAAAAATAAACTGAACAATTTAGAACAAAATGAAAGGTTCTAAACTGATTTTTATAAATGATGCTCGCTTCACTATGTATTAGTATTTAAGTACTAATACTTATTTATTTACTTATTTAATTATTCAAGTATTCTTATTACTTATTTAAGTATTCAAGCAAGCAATAATAATCTGTTCAAAGATTCTATTTCAATAGGGATTTTTTTAGGAAACTTACTCACAATTTTAGGGAATTTTCTAAAATGTTCAAAACACAGGAAAATTTTTATTAAACCAATAGACTAGGAGAAACAGGAAAAATCCAGTAGAGTTGGCAGCTATGTATTTACTTATTGTAGGGTCATTCTTTTGAAGACTATTGCATTCTGACATTCTTAATATAAAGAATCTAGAGTAAAAAATGAAATGAATCTCATAAAAAGATAAACTGATATTGAAACAAATAATTAGTCAAAATCGGTGATAAAAAAGTAGAAGTACATTCATTTTATTTATTGTTTTTAATATCTTTAATTTAATTCATGTTTTGTGATTTATCTAAAAATATTTAACTTAAAAAGAAGTACGAACAGTAATATAAAACGAAAATCTAAAACTTGATCACAATTATAAAATTTGCTAAAATTTTGATTTCTCTTACAGTTGCTTTGTATCGTCACGGAATGGTGGAAAAACGGGGAGAAAATGTAGAAATCTCCCGCAAATACGGAACAGTTGGTAGCTATGTAATAATCTTCAAAGTTATTCAGTTTTTTATGTTAAAAACAATTTATCAGAAAAACAGCTGATAATATTTTTAAATACCTGAGAAACATTTCCTGAACCAGTGAAGACGAAAGTTAAAGGACCAATGGATCGAGGCATCATACCTAGTGCAATTTCATAACCAGCATCTCGCACAGTTTGGCGGGCCATACCGCTATTTCGATAGTTATGAGCAGGGCCAACATGCTAAACAAAAAATAGGGAAACATTAAACTATAAATAAAACATTAAATTATTATAATTTTTTCATATTGAAAAGAGAAAAAAAAGGTAGAAAATTTTGATTCGTCATTCAAAACCAAGCACTATTAAAAGCACTCAAACAGCGCAGACTCCATAGTGAATCTATGTTTGCTTTTTCGCTTATTATTTCTGTCAATATTAACACAGCCTTACATTTTTAGCATGTTTCTCTGATGCACAAATTTTAAAATCAAGTTATTTTTTGATGCAATTTATCTGTGACCATTTCATCAGCAATCAAAGTGACTTTTTGATTGTGTCTTCTGCTGTTGTTGTTGGATCTCCACTTAGCTTCGATAATTTCAATATTTTTCATATATTATTTCAACTCAAGTTTTTAATCTTGTATTTTAATAATCATGTTTAATGTTCCAATTTTTGTCAATTTAAATGATTATTCCTGTTTTTTTTACATGGTTTTAAAAATTTCAACATTATTAATACAATATTACAACTGTTTGTGAGTTTCGAATAGCGCATTTTAATAATCACTCTTGATGATTGCTTTATTTGTGCTGATTTTATGTCAATCCAAGTTATTTTTCATTGTTTTTTTGTTTTTTAAAGTTTTTGCAACACTTTTCTACATGGCATTGAAAATCCTGATATTTTCAGGCAATATTATTATGACTTACAAGTTTAGAATCTTGCGTGGATTTTAATAATCAATTTAAACACTTGCTTTGTTTGCATTGGATTTCATCGTCATTTTATTGCACAATCATTAATTTGGCAGTTGTTGCTATTCATTTCTACACGGTATTTGTAAAATCTTGATATTTTTAATACACTATTATTAAAACATGCGAAATGTTAACGTAGGTGAAATAGTTTTTACTGTTTTTAACTTATTTTTCTAACTTTTTGTAGCTTAAAAAACCGTATAAGATATAATATTCATAAAATCTCTTATAATTCACCAAATATAAATGCCCTAAAGTTAAAAATACGTTTTTAATTAAACATTGAATCTTATTTTGAGTAATAATGTGTTTGTTTCATTTTAAATCATTTTAGAAAATCATAAATTTTTTAAATTAAATCTTTTACTTTGCACTTACATATATTACCTTTTAAGACATATATTAGGAAATGATTATAAGAAATTATAAGGATATGATTTCATATAATCATCAAAAGAAATATATTTGAAAATAGGAAATGTATTTGATTCGATGAAATATTATATTCTCTACAATTTCATTTTAAAAACAGTTTATAAACAGATTACAATGTTTTTCAATATGAATTATACTATTACTGTTTTACTCACTAATATTATCTTAACAGAAATGTGAAATCATTCTTCAATTAACGACACCAGTACCCATAAAATAAAAATACCTTGACTCACCATGAATGGTGTATGATGACCAAGAGCAAGGAGTCTGAGTCCAAGTCCATGGAGTATGTTTATTGTACCAGCTACACCTGCAAATTTTCCAAAGGCAACTACTCTTTGACCTTTACTATCAACAAGTTTTTCATAATCAATTAACCTTATATTCTGAAGAAAAAAAAATCACACCATTAGCTTTAAAACATACATATACAGTGAAACCTCAGTTAGCATAACCTAGTTAAAATAACCTAGCATAACCTAGTTACTAAAATATAAAGCATATAATAGATAATGCTTTATATTTAATTTAAAATGATTTACCTACTTCTAAACATATTCACTTTTTCATATTTCACATAAAATTATGTAATTGATGAAAATTTAGATTTTTAACTACAGATTTCAATTAAAACATGAAACAGGATGTGTAGCCAGCAAAAAAATAAGCACCTTTCAAGTAAGTTTTTTAAAAACTCAAAAAATATTTTTAATCACTTTCCAAAAAAAAAAATTCATAATTAGGATTTGTGCAGTAACAAAATTCTTTTTACTATTGTTTAAAGTTCTTAATTTATAAACATAAAATTAATAAAATTAAAACTTTTTTCAAAAAACTTAACATAATCATGATAAAGTAACTAGTTTCGATAAATATTGCAGAGAAAATTATGCATTTTTTGTAATTTCTGACAACAAGACACAGCAAAGAAAAAACTTTTTAAAAGTTGGAAAATTAGCCACGTTTTACAAACCCTGAATAAAAATAAAAAAAGCACTTTTAAAGGCTTTAAAAAAACGTAAATCAAAAATAAGAACCTTTAAGCATTTTATAAAAAATGCTATAAACCCTGTAAAATAATTACTCTTCATATGCATCTTCAAAATAATGATTTATACTGTTATTATTTGAGATCCAATTTCGGTAAAAAGTGTCCAGAAATTGGAAAGTCCTCGGTCTTAAGGACTGCGGTTCTCAAAATGTGCAATGCAGTATGTTTTAACATTTCTAAAATATAATAAGAAATGCTTTTTGCTTCTCTTCAAAGTATTCATTTTTTGAATATAACTTTGTGATCCCCAATGAGTATACTTTTTGAATGAACATCCTAAAAATATATATTAAGGGTGGTCCATACAGTCATTTTTGAGATAACTGAATCCTTTTGTTTAACTGCCAAGCATTTGTTACTAAAATTAACCAGCTTTAATAAAAATATCACTAAAAAATGAGAAACTTACTCGTTCAAGAATACAATCCAACATAGGCATGTTTGCTTCCTGTGCTTTAATTGTATGTGAGAAGAAACAATATGTTTTATTAGGAAGCAGTTTATCAATTGGAACTTGCTTTACTCCAATAATCACAGGTGCTTCACTTATGTCTTCTTGAATTATTGCACCAGCATTAATATATGCCTGTAAATATAAAAATATATAAAAACTGAAAGAAACTACATGTCGTATACATATTTTTTCATAATCATAATCATATTTTTTCATTAAATATAAAACCAACTAACTTTAAAACAAAGCTCATTACATCTAGAATAATGTTATTGATTTTTCGACATCTACATACATAATTGACAAAATGATCCAAAAACTATAATTATTATTCACGGCTTATAAGAGCAACTTTGAATTTGTTACAGAATCTTGTCCATTAAAATAGAATGTTAAAGTTATTTTCATAATGCACAATCGAAGAAAGTTACTTAAATCTTGATTTTATTAGATATTTTCGAAGAAAAAAAATCATTGATTTCCATAAAAGTAAATAAGACAGGTTTAAAATAATCAGAAAATAAGTAATGACAGTTTTTAGTCAGTAAAAATTAAATAATTAGTCATATTTAAAAAATTATACACAGAGAGAAAAAAAATAAGGTTTTTCTAATGATAAGAAAATGCAAGCAAGCAATGGATAATGTTTATCCAATATGTAATGCTTATTGGAATATAGCTAATAGTAAATATGCAATGGACAATGAATTATTCAAGCAATGCCCTAATTATCATTAATAGAAAGTTTTTTTACTATTTAAAAATCAATAAATTACTTATAATCTAATAATCATTTTACAATTAATAGCCATGTTTCATAAATTAATAACCTGCATGGGATAAGCTCTTCTGTTGGATGGTTGAACTAATACTTTTGTTCCTTCTTTTGTCAGCTGCTTAACATGATGGGGACCTAGTGGAGCTCTTCTCTCCCAAACAGATGCATCTTCTCGACGAACAGCTAGTACCTAAAAATATTTTTTGAACAGACTATGAAACAAAGTTAAAGATTGAATACCATCAAACTATACATGAATAGAATCTTTACAATACATATCTGAAACCTAAATTAAAAACAGTGAATGAAATATGACAAACAGCGAAACATCTAGAAAGGTAAAGACTATTCAAGAAATTGAATAAATTAAACTTGTATTTGAGTAGAAGGAGATTTCTTAGTAAAATTAGGAGTAAAATTATTAAGAGTATTGCCATACTCATAAAATAATATGACTGCCTAACAAGAAACATAAGACTAAGTTACAGATTCAATAAATTCAAATTATAATCAAAAGCAAATATAATAGTAGAATCATAATGAATATTTTCATAAGATATGCAATACCTATAAAAATGTGTAAATATAATCATACAATTAAGTTACAAATTTAATAGTGACCTTCAATCTAATGCATAGTCTTAAAGAAATTTATAGGAGGGAGGGAGCAGAGGTTTTTTTTCTTTTTTTTTCCTAAGAGTATTGGTTGCTTTATTATCTCTCTCTGTGAATACATATATACACACACACAAAATGTATATAGCCACAAAACTCAACCTCTCTCTCCCTCTAATTAGGCTCAACACATTAAAAGTCACTCTAGTACCAAGAGGTGAGGAAGAATTTGGTATTGTTAGATAGGTTTTTTAAAATATCTTACAAGCCTATTTTAATTAAGGTCTGATTTGTATTTCTCGAAATATTTTATTTTAATTCATTTTCACATGAACTTTTGCAATTACTGCTTCACTAATTACATCCTGAATTCATCTATTTACTTTATTTACCAGATTTAAAGAAATCTGGGTACTAGATTTATATGCATTAAATATGAGAGTATGGCGTAACTATCACTACAAATATTAAATACCAAATCACTAGTACATAAGACATATTAACTCGACTCTATCTGGAAGTTCGATAGATGCAGGTTAACATAGTCTTAAATTAAATCCCCACATTGGTGACTTGCATACGTGATATGAACTAGCCAACATTCATGGATGATCCACAAATGAGGGGATATATATATATATTTCTTCAATATTGTTTTGCCCCTCATTGATGACCTGTGGACGTGATATGAACATGCCAACATTAATGGAAATCCCACTTCTGACACCAGAGGTACCTTTTGATAGATGAAGGTTGACATAGTCTTAAATAAAAATCCCCTCAATGGTGACCTGCGGACGTGATACGATCTTGTCATTCATGGATGATCCACATTAAAACGGTTGATTTGCTTAAGAAAAAATATATGCTGCTCAAAGAAAAAGAAATCCGGTGAAGTAAATAAAGTCTCCCGGTCAATAAACAAAAATGATGGAAAAAAAGAGAAATAAGAAGTGAAATGCCACTAACAAACAAACAAAAAAAAAATGAACAAAAATGAGCGAAATGCTTTAAATAAACAAAAAAAAAGTAGAAATATAATCAGCAAAATGATATAAATAAAAATAAATACACCCTTGTGCAAATTATTTGAAACAAACTCAATAAATTCAGAAAACTAAGAGAAAATGCTATTTTATTTAAATTTATACAAACTCAAAAATTTTTAGTACATAATATGATCTCCACGACACTTTNCTCTCCCAAACAGATGCATCTTCTCGACGAACAGCTAGTACCTAAAAATATTTTTTGAACAGACTATGAAACAAAGTTAAAGATTGAATACCATCAAACTATACATGAATAGAATCTTTACAATACATATCTGAAACCTAAATTAAAAACAGTGAATGAAATATGACAAACAGCGAAACATCTAGAAAGGTAAAGACTATTCAAGAAATTGAATAAATTAAACTTGTATTTGAGTAGAAGGAGATGGTAAAATTATTAAGAGTATTGCCATACTCATAAAATAATATGACTGCCTAACAAGAAACATAAGACTAAGTTACAGATTCAATAAATTCAAATTATAATCAAAAGCAAATATAATAGTAGAATCTAATAGCAGTAACTACCACTACAAATATTAAATACCAATTCACTACGATTCTATCTTGAGGTACCTTTTGATAGATGAAGGTTGACATAGTCTTAAATAAAAATACCCTCAAGAGCAATATGAGAAACCAATATAAACAAAAAGTTTTTAATTAACTTTCATAAATAAAATAACTTTCTTCACTTTTTTGTATAGAATTTACTACCAAAGAACAGGAAAGCTCTGATTTTTCGTTAAAAAAAATATTTATTTCATAAAACATTCGCACATGATTATGAGCCAAGGATGTTTCCCATAGCAGATCACTAGATCATAGCAGATTACCATCACCAATAGCAGATTGTGCAGCTCTAGTGCGATAAAATAAACTACAACTATTACGAGCAAATTTAATTTAGTGAAACCAAACCCTTCTGCTTTAATTGAAATACAAACAATTAAACATTCTTCAATTATAGCTAACTTTCATCTTTTTTTTAAACTTTCCTTATGTATGCAATAACTTTAATTTAGAATTACAAATATATGCAATTTTGTTTCATACTTTTTCAACCATTAAAAAAAAAAAAAAAAAAAAAAACTAAAANAAAAAAAAAAAAAAAAAAAAAAAGATTTATGACAAATTTATAGCAAGTTCAAATTTTTAAAATAGGCCGGGAGATTTCCATACCGTGACCTGTTCCGCATCGAAAGATATAACCCTTAGCCCCCTCAAGAAAACATCTACATGCTTTTTTTAAAAATAAAAAAAATCGATTTCGCACCTTGGCAATTGTAGTTGGTAGATCACAATATATAAATATTCCCAAATAGGGTAACAAATGTATCAAGTTGAACTAGTTACAAACAAAAAAGTGTAAACTTATAAACAAATACAATAAAAATGCACTTTTGTTGATACAATACACACTTTTGTTGACAGGTATAAATATCCCCAAATAGGGTAAAAAAATGTATTAAGTTAAACTAGCTACAAATAAAAAAGTGTACACTTATAAACAAATACAATAAAAATGCAGGGATACTTTTGTTGAAGACTTCCATCTTACAGCAGTCCTTAATCTATAGACATTCGCAAAATGTTTATATTCTTTTAGGTAAGGCCACATTTCAAATCCTAGAAAGCAAAATAAAATCAATTTAACTCAAAAATAAAACGACCATCACTTAGTATTCTTTTTATGTATTTATATTTTTAAAAAAATAGAAAAGTGCATTGCTTGTTGTAGAAATATTTTTACAATGGTTTTTGGTACTTAACAGTTAGAGGAAACATGAAGTCAAATTGAGAAACACTGTTAGACACAACACCAGATATTACATAAATATCGATAGAATTTATGTGGCCAAATGTAGCTAGTCAGGATAAAATTTTATCAGTCACAAATTACAATGGAAGTATAATTTTTTTTAAGTTGAAAAAAAAGCTTAAAATAAATTTGAATTTTCATAAAAGAGTTTGTATTAAATATTTGTTACTATTTTTTATTCGTGGTAATACAATATTTATGTTTTAGGTAAGTACCAATTTTTATTTGATTTTGGTTGTCAATTTCGAAAAGCAGTAATCAACAAATGGTTGCTATGATTGATAAACACAAATCTTTATTTTTTAAGCTTTTCTTCACAATGGAAAGCATTTATTTTAATGGGAGGGATAAGGAAAAGACAAGATCCCTAGTCCCAAAAACTTTGTATTTACTAATAAGTAAATCCCAAAACCAACTTAATATACATTTTAACAAGATTTATCAGTTAAAAGAAAATGCTTTAGATAAAAATTATGGTCATAATTTAGAAGAAATCCGAAATATTCTTGATATAAGCGATATGCTTTGAAGGTATTAAGAAAATCATTTAAAATTTTGATTTTGTTGTGATAAAATTCTTAGTTCGAAGAAGTTGAGTTTAGGCACTGATTTTCAGATCCTGAGTACAGGTCATTACAGAAGAAGGATCATCTATCAATGCATGCGCAATTTAAAGATATTGAGTATATATATAAATTATTTTAAAATTGGTTTTGTTAAAATTCTTATTTAATCCCAATTTTAAATTTTTTTTACAAAATTCTATGATACCAACTTCAAGAGATAATTGAGTAAATGTTATTGAGAAAGAGTATGTAAGCAGAATACGCAATCTGAATCATTCCCGAATCAAATCATAAAGTTAATTGAGAAGTACATTTTTGTGTAAGTTTAATGAATCTAAAAATTAAGATAAGTGCAAAAACTAGTTTCCCTTTTTTGAAAAAAAAAACTTCTAACAAGGTTTTATAAATCTTTTTCCTTTTTTCCCCTCAGAAATATTGGTGATTTTTGAGTCCCACCATTCCACTATTTTCGCAATTTTTCTGGGGATATTTCTGTATCATGATCTGACTAACAAAGCAGGCTATAGGTTGAATAATTATTAATATACATAAGTTTATTATATGCATTATACATAATAAATATACATGTTTCAAAATTTTTAGACCATATTTTATGAAATTTGTATTTATCGCCTCTCTTACATATAACTTCCTGAATTTTAAATTTAATTCCAACTCATGAACAAAATAATAATTATTTTCATAATGCCATATCAACATTATATAGAAATTACGATGTTAACATTGTTTAAAATTAAAATTGATGGATGCAATCAAGTTACTATTTATTACCTAATGCTTAGAATTTTTTTAAAAATGAAATACATTCACTTAATAATCTGCCACAAAAGAAATATGCCTATTGGCTGAATAATTATGATTATATGTATTACCTATTTATATGCATTATACATAATAAATATATACATGTTTCCAAATTTTTAGACCACATTTTATGAAATTTGTATTTTTCGCCTCTCTTACATATAACTTCCTGAATTTTAAATTTAATTCCAACTTAAGAACAAAATAATAATTATTTTCATAATGCCATGTCAACATTAAAGCAATTGTGTTAATATTGTTAAAAATTAAACTTAATGGATGCAATCAAGTTACTATTTATTTACCTAATGCTTAGAATTTAAAAAAAAAAAAAAACACATTCACTTAATAAAAAACAGATTTCCTATTTATTTTGTAACAAACATTTTAACTCACAGTTATTAACAGTACGTAAATGTAAACAACATACACAATATTAATATCAAAACGTTAAGAATACTAATGCATTTCAAATTTAATTTTCCTTTTCGTCACNGAATTTAAAAAAAAAAAAAAACACATTCACTTAATAAAAAACAGATTTCCTATTTATTTTGTAACAAATATTTTAAGTAAATGTAAACAACACACACAATATTAATATCAAAACGTTAAGAATACTAATGCATTTCAAATTTAATTTTCCTTTTGCTTTTCGTCACCCTAAAATAATACACCATACAAAAAATACAGTCGTTTTAACCAAATAATTCTGTGTAATCAAATAATAAAACACGATTCGTTTTTCAAGGTTAGAAAATGGTCCGATATTTATGCATTTATGTCGGTCTAGGATTTAATAAAATAATACTTTTTTTCCTCGGAAAATAAATTTATTTGACCTTCTACTTTATAAATCAAAGAATTAGATTACAATAAACTAAAACTATTAATTGATATGATTTGATCTTTCTACTCACAAATGGTAATGAATGAATATTATTTACTAAAACCACGTGTGTAAACACATGCCACCTTGACAGGGACTGATATTTGCGGCAATTTGTTTTAGATTTTTTTGTCTAAAAATACGATAGATGGCGCTTATGACAGTCAACTTTCAAACTTTCATCAACAGGTCCCTTTTGCAGATTGATGGAGAGAATTCTTGTGAATTTTTTTTTGTGGGGGGGGGGGGNGTGCTTTTTTTTTTGTTGGGGGGGGGGGAGTGAAGGACTCTGTTTTTTGTAATCTTCAGTGATCCCCCCTAGACAGTGCCGGATTACCGGCCGGACTAAGCCATGGCCTGGGGCCCCCTTAAAATGGATTTTTTGAAAATTAATTATAAAAAATTAAGGGAAATAATGATTTTTTTTAAAAAAAAAGCAATTCCAAATATATATTAATGAAATACGATATTTTTTTCATCTAATGTTAATCATATTTATTTATTACTTATTAAAATTTAATTTATTATTATTTATTTTAATTTTAAATATGCTTTCTTAAATGAAAAGNACATGCCACCTTGACAGGGACTGATATTTGCGGCAATTTGTTTTAGGTTTTTTTGTCTAAAAATACGATAGATGGCGCTTATGACAGTCAACTTTCATCAACAGGTCCCTTTTGAAGATTGATGGAGAGAATTCTTGTGCTTTTTTTTTCTTTGGGGGGGGGGGAGTGAAGGACTCTGTTTTTTGTAATCTTCTGTGATCCCCCCTAGACAGTGCCGGATTACCGGCCGGACTAAGCCATGGCCTGGGGCCCCCTTAAAATGGATTTTTTGAAAATTAATTATAAAAAATTAAGGGAAATAATGATTTTTTTTAAAAAAAAAGCAATTCCAAATATATATTAATGAAATACGATATTTTTTTCATCTAATGTTAATCATATTTATTTATTACTTATTAAAATTTAATTTATTATTATTTATTTTTATTTTAAATATGCTTTCTTAGATAAAAAGGTATATAAATATATTTATATTTGAATAAATAAAAAATATACGAGAAAAAAAAATTTAATCTAAGAGCTCCAAAATTTTGAATGGCCTAGGGTCCCGCTTGCACTTAATCCGGCTCTGCCCTTAAAAATTAAAAAATTATAGCATAATTACAAAAAATGTACTTTTTTCCCTCGCAATTGACTCAGAATTCAATTCAGAGATAGCCATTTGATTTCAGCTCAACTGTTAGATTAACTTATTTAAAAACAATTCCTTAATATGCTTCTCTATATAATGAAAAAAGTGAATTATATGACTAAAAAAAATACTAACAATTCGTAAGTTAAAAATTTGCCTTAAGATAAATTCGAATTCACAGTAAATTCTATTCCATGGTAATAAATTCGTGAGATATTCATTCACTATGTGAATTTATTACTTATGATGCTAAATTGAATATTATACTGTTTTTGTCTCAGACGTAGTCTCTGTTTAATTTAAATTTTGCACTTAATATTCAGAGTTTTCTTTTATCTCGATTTTGGTGCGTAATAGCCGATACCGATACTCATGACGTGAAGTTCTATATTCAATCTTCAAGTTCTATATTCAATCATTGATCTTCAAATCCTTCTCAAAAGTAACTTATTGAATAATCAAATCAATCAAACAAATTCGAAAATTACTATAAGCTAAAGTTTAATTTTTTTTAAATTTTATTTTATTAATTAATTAGTATATAACATAATTATTATATTAATATTGATATGTAAGCCTGAGTTTATCAATAAAGGCTCGTTACAATAGTAATAAACTTACCTACCTATCTTTTATTTATATTTTTTTATCTGCAGGACAACATTATTTTTTTCTTAGTCCTGAATAGTTTTATAAATTTTTTTTAACCATATTCAATATGAACTCAATAGACGTATTTAAGAAAATGGACACAGCTCGAAATGTTTGTTTTAGAAAATGGTCAGAGCTCAAAATGCATGCTTAAGAATATAGACACAGTTCAAATTCATGCTGAAGAAAATAGACAAAGCTCGAAATGCGTGCCTTAGAAAATGGACACAGCTCAAAATGCATGCTTAAGAAAATGGGCACAGTTTAAAATGCATGCTTAAAAAATGGGCACAGCTCGAAATGCTTATTTTGGAAAATGGACACAGCTCAATATGTATGCTTAAGAAAATAGGCACAGTTCAAAATGCATGCTTAAAAAAATGGGCACAGCTCGAAATGCGTATTTTAGAAAATGGACACAGTTCAATAAGTATACTTAAAAATGGACACAGCTCGAAATGCATCTTTAAGAAAATGGACAGTTCAAAATGCATGCTTAAGAAATTAGACACAGCTCGGAATTCCTTTTTTTATAAAATAGACACAGCTCAAAATGTTACAAATTTAGGGATCAGGATGTCTGGCAATATTACAGATGTAATTTTCAAGTGATCTTTTCTTATTCAGAAAACGAAACAATAAAACTATTAAAAAAAAATCTGAATCCGTACAACATAAATTCAACTATTATCAATTTATTTAATCTGTGACAACCGGGTAAAGGCAATTGTTGGCATATAAAGTAGTCTTTTCAAAAAAGAGAAATTTTAAAAAATGTACTAAGTGATTTAATCGTTTCCGGACTAGCGATTCCTAAAAGCATTCTTACAAAATAAGAATCTGGATGGGAAAAGAAATAAATAAATAAAGAGTGGTAGCTTAAATGTGGTCATTGCTAATTTAGCAGACTTATTTTGCTTTCACATTAATCAATGTTAGTCTAATCACATGTCTAATCAATGTTAGTTCAAAGTGTTACTATTTAATTTTTATTTTGAACTGAGGAGTAGTGAATTAAATAAATCCAGCTATTATAATCCAGCCCAAAAATAGACTGCTATAGAATTAGTTGGAGGATATAATTATAAACAAATTAGGGAGCCCACAATGAGGCAAACAATTTTAATATGTATATATTTCTTAAGTGCGTATTATAGCGTTAAAATGAAGAAATTGTTGCTCATATACTGTACAGTGAGCAGGAAAAGAAAAAGAAAAAAAAGATCGGACCACCCTGAATAACTTTTGATCTAATGATCGGATCTTCACGTTCTTGGAATCAATCTTAATGGCTTGAAAGAGTGATCTCAAATATGCCATGTTAATAAGTACAGACGATATTTAAAGTTACGAAATCAGAGACAAAAAGATACTTTTTCTAAATAAACATACTTCTTTTTTCAACGGATTAGGATTTCTGACCCCCAAAATATAGGTGTACCCGCAATCCAGAAAATATGCTCCCAATAGTTTCAGGACAGCTTTCCGAAATTTTGACCCTTAATGTTAATTTTTTTTTTCTCCCCGTATTTTACTATATCTCGCGAACTTTTTAAACGAATAGAAAACTTTTTGCACACAGTTAGGAAATTCGTTTATCCCAAGATTCACGCAAGAAAAAAAAAAAAGAAAAAAAAACTTTTAGTAAATAGTAATTTTTTTTATTATTTTAGTAATTAATAGTAAATAAATATTTGAATTGTAAGGTGTAGAATTTTTTGCATCCTTTTAAAGAACATAATTTTACATGGCAAAATAGATATGGTTTATATGTAAATTTAGGTGGCTCCCAAGATATTGAATTTTAAACATCTGTCTCTTTTGAAAATCAATTTCTCAAGAACTATTCGATCGTTTTTGCTGAAATTTTGTATTTTAACATATAAAAAGCACGGGAAAGTAATTAAATCTTGTTATAAGTCAGGCAGGTGTTTTGTGGCCGTTAAGGTAAAGTGATAGGATATAATTTTTTATTATGCTATGACACAGTTCCAATGGAAATAACCAAGACAAATTAAGGGTCTCGCAATGTGGCACAATATGGTTCCATAGAAAAAGAGCGAGAAATTTTTTAAAGCTTGTTATAAAGTGGATGGACAGTTGTGGTAAAATTGTTAGGGTAAAGTGATAGGACGCAACAAATTACTAGAATCGGGGGACCGGGGTTCGAACTACGTTTAAGGACAATATTTTAAAAAAGGACAATATATTAAAATTATATTAAGGACAATATATTAAAATTATATTTAATAAAGATAAGCGTTTTTTCGTTTTTTAATTTATTTTACAATTACAATAGTGTAACGTAAATAAAATATTCTCCTTTCCAAAAATTTGCATTTTTCTATATTCTAAGTGCGAATACTAGCATTAAAATTCAGAAATTGCTGCTCATATATTGTTCATATAAATAGCCCTTATCTCTTGCTAGTCTCGAAATTTGCTAGAAATTGCTTGTCCAGAGGATCCGGGGTTCGAACTTCGGTCACTGTCTGAACTCAAAAATTGTAATTAATAAAAATAAATGCTTTTTTACTTATTTTTAAATAGTTTAAGGTAAATAAGTTTCTTTTTCTCTTTAAATTATCATTTTATCCTTTTCTAAGAGGGCATAATAGCCGTAAAATGAAATAAAAATTGTTGTTCATATAATGTACCTATAAATGGCCCTATATCTCCCCTTATTTTAAACTTTCAATTTTTAAACTCGACCAGATATTATATTATAATGTATTACTCAACCGTACTCAGGGGCGGATTACCCATAAGGCCAGACTAGGCCATGGCATGGGACCCCCAATGATTAGGGGCCCCTTTAAGAAAATTTTTTTGAAAATAAGTTTCAAAAAATTAAGAAAAACAATGATTTTTAAAAAAAAATCAATTTCAAATAATATATATTAATAAATTACGATAGTTTTTTTAGTTCTAATTTAACAAAATAAAGTAAAATGTAATTTATTATTATTTATTTTTATTTTAAATATGCTTTCTTAAATGGAAAGATGTATAAATACTTCTATATTTGAATACATAAAAAACGTACGAGAAAAAAATTTAACCTAAGGGCCCCAAAAATTCAAATGGCCTTGGGCCCCGCGTACGCTTATTCCGCCCCTGTCCGTACTAAAGGGAATAATTATGGACAAATTGGGGTTGGGGCTACAATATGGTTTCGTTGGTAAACAGCAGAAATTTTTTTAAGCTTTTCATAAGGCGGACAGCCAGATGTGTGACCGGTAGGGTTAAGTGATGTGAAGCCGCAAATTTGCTAGTTCCGAATGTCCGGGGGTTAGAGCATCTTAATACTACGGTCCTCGAGGTGTCTTTGAGAATGAGCAAAGAGATGTTCCCCTGCAGCCGACGCACATCTCTTTTGCTCTTCCTCTCTCTCCCTTTACACAACATAAAATTCGAGAATGTACTACTAAATTATCATTTTTGTTAAAACTCATTTTTATGTGCATAACGGTAAAATCTTGCAATCAAAATTTCGACCACTTTTTGACGACCCGATGACTATTCAAATTTTAATTATTTTCTGCCCGATATAGAATTGATTTCTTGCAATGTTATTGCCAAAGGAAACACTCCGCCAATCAGAATTCCGATCACCATCTGTAAAGTATGCACATTTTAACTGTTCTGAATAATAATAAAAGCATTAATTATCTACTGACTTCTAGAAAATTTCATTGCCAAATGTAATTTATTATCAATTAAAATTTCGAGCTCAGCTCTATTCTGAATGAAAATACATATTCCATTCCAACCCTTTCCGGATTGCTACAAACAGATATTATCTCCAAATAGAATTTGTCGTCAGACCATTTCCGGGCTAGCTAGAGTGCTCAAATTTAAACTTGAGCTCTGAGTCTGATATATTGGCATAATGTTTTCTAAATGTTACAAGCAAAATGCTTTGGTATTTTATCTCTTATCGAAATTTCGACTACTTCCCATAAGTAGAAACTAAAAAGAAAAAAGTTAAAGTTTTAAAAAATTAGTTTATAAGGTGGGTGAAAATGACAAATAATTTAATTTTTATCATTTAAAAAAATTTCTATCGCCACCGAAAATCTCACGTCTTTCAAAAGTGATGCTCTCTACGTTTTTTGTTTCAAATGTTAAATAAAAATTATTTTTTAAAAAAAATGCTGTTTTAAAACCTTTATTTTATTATTTACAGTGAGCAGAGAAAAAATAAACATTTCATTTTTTTACAAGTGTTAAAACGAGGTTTAAATAGGAGACAAGTGTAAATAGGAGATCCATAAAAGTTTTTTTTTATTTACCTGATAACTTTGTGTTACTTCCTTTCGATATTCAAACCTTTATATTAAATGAAGCATCTGCATATAATTTAATAGGAGCATATGTTATCTGTCTGTAAATCAGTTAATCGAAAATAATCTCAAGGAATTATCGGGAAATAACATTTTCACTTTATCTTGCATAATTTTTATCTCTTTTAAGGTATATAATAAAAATTTTCGTCACTTAGGTGACGTAAAGGGAGAACAGAACCTGAGTTTTGGCGAATGAAATAATGACATTTCTAGTAATGTCAAATAATAACATATGTAGTGATGAAATCAGACATCTCAAATCTAATCGTCAAAGACAAGGCCACAATGATAAAATCCAGAAGAAAAGGAAAGTAACAATAAGGTATAAATTTTTCTTTTTCCTTTTTTTGTCATCGGAACATCACTATTGATAAAAGTTAATAAATAAATAAAACATGATAATCAGGAAGCGAACGAGTTAAATGTTAACCCAGAAATCATGTAACCCTACGACAACCTTGTGTCAACCATTTTTCAATAAAGCAAAAATATTGCATTTTTAAACCTTTCATCCTAAAAGGATAAAGAAATTTTTTTTTCAAGCTCTTTATAAAGTATTGTCGCTTAGGTAAATACGTCATTTAGGTCCATAATGACGTTTTAGATGACGTCACAGTAGCGACAGGATCAAATTGCATTGTCTATTAAAATTTCGTGAGCCTGCCAGGTGGAAATAAGCGTTAAGTACAGTGGCGTACGCAGAATTTTTTCAAGGGGGGTGTTCATAATTTTCTGAAAGTACTAAAAGAATTATCACTAATTTCAGGTCGTGAATTTTTCTCAAAATAATTAAAAATTGTTAAATTCTTACGTTTTGACATCCTAAAGATCCAAGAACAGTAAATATATATATTGGCACAGAAATAAATGCTATGCTCAGAGCCTACGCGGGGACCTAGGTCATTCAAATTTTTGGGGCCCTTCGATTAAGTTGTTTTTCTCGTATATTTTTTATTTATTCAAATATAAAAGTATTTATATATCTTTTCATTTCAGAAAGCATGTTTAAAATTAAAATAAATAATAATAAATTGAATTTTACTTTATTTTGTTAAATTACAACAAAATTTTAATCATAACATTTTGAAAAAATTTTAATATATATTTAAAATTGATTTTTTGTTTAAAAAATCATCGTTTTTCAAAATTTTTCAAAATTTATTTTCAAAAAAATCTATTTTAAGGGGGTCCCTAATCATTTGATATTACATCATCCACTGTACTCCGTTCCCCCTTTTATATAATTTTTCACCGCATCTCCAAAATTCTCGAATTGTCTCCAAGACAACAGAACGTCTAGGATTCCAGAATCATCGCGTAAAGATCTCGCGAATGACAACCAGTCTCGAAAACTATACTGGCAGGACAGAAAGGAACCAGTCCGTAACAGTATCCCGTGAATTTGGTTTCAAAAGTACAGCCCTATTATAGTAAATGTTTTTTCAGTATTCTGAGAAATACCGTGAGAAAAAAAAAGTAGGCATAAGGCAGATAAAAATACATTGTCTTAAAAAATAATAGCTTGCATAATTTCTACTAAAATTTTTATTTTTGCCATTTTGTCTGAGCTCAAGGGGGGTGTTTAAACCCCTAAACCCCTCCCTTGCGTACGCCACTGGTGGTAATACTGAGAAT